GCTAGTCAAGTGTCTAAGATAGCCCCAGAGGTTGTTCTCTCCGAGGAGCGGGTTACCGGCACGGTGACCACTGAACTGCGCACAGATAGCGCCAACAACGTGCTCAACTCCAGTGAGACCACCGGTCGCATTAGCTATGAAAACCGAGGCGAATGCTTCTTTTTACCCTATACCAAAGACGATGTGGAAGGCAATGTCAACTTGCGCGCTGGCGACAAGGTCAGCTTCCAAATCGCAACGAACCAAAGGTGAGAATTAGTTTTTAGATAGCTTATAACCCTTTTATAACTTACTTATATATTCATTATTTATTATTTTTTAACAGAGGTAATCTAGGCGCCTGCCATATTCGCCTGGAGAATCCGGCTCAGCCGGTTAAATATCGTGGCGTGGTCTGTTCGATGAAAGAGTCGTTTGGCTTTATCGAACGCGCCGATGTGGTCAAGGAGATTTTCTTCCACTTTTCGGAGGCCGAGGGCAATGTCGAGTTGCGTCCCGGTGACGATGTCGAGTTCACCATTCAGACGCGGAGCGTAAGTGGCAGCGGCGATCCGACCAACCCCAACATCCTTCAATCAAAAATGCAGTCTGCATCTGTGCCTCCACAGGGCCGTGAATTTGCGTGCAACATCACGCGCCTAGCTCCGGGATCAGTGATCTTTGAGGACGTGGACAGCACGGTGTATAAGGGCCAGGTGCTCAAGTCGCTTGATCGCAATAATCCTGTGCGTCAAAACAATGATCCCTTGCCAGGTCGCATTCGTTATAGGGCTTTGGATTACTCCGAGGTGGAGGTTTTGTTCGGGGACAAGGATCAGAAAGGTGACTTTACTCTGCGCCATGGTGATTGGGTGCAGTTCCTTCTTGCCACTGATAGGCGTGATCAATTGCAACGGGCCACCTCGATTGCCCTTTTGGACGAGACCTTCAAGGTGTCCGGTGAAAAGCGAGAGCAGGGCACCATTGCCTCGCTTAAGGAGGGCTTCGGTTTTTTGCGCTGCGTAGAGCGTCAGGCGCGTTTATTTTTCCACTTTACTGAAGTTTTAGATACGGTGAGACATTAATAATAAATAGGTTTACAATATAAGTAAACGCTAATTACCACTATTTTGTTAATTTATATAGAGCCGTGAAATCGATGTCAACGATGAGGTGGAATTCACTGTCATTCAAGAGCCTGGATTGGCCTATAATAACTCGCGTTTGCAGGCCATTCGCATTAAACATTTGCCGCCCAACACAGTGCAATTCGAAACCCTAGTGGCCAGCAACATAGAGGGTATGCTTTAATTATTACGTTTTTAACTAAAACCTTTTTTTAATTCGAGAATTCTTAAATTAAACAGGCTGCGTAACACGCGAGGCGCCCAAGAGCCCAATTAAATCTCAAGATCGCGTCGAGGGCGGTGTGATTACCTACGAGCATGCCGATGTTAAAAAGACTATAATGTATTTTCTTAAAGACTGCGAAAAACCACCAAGGATTGGGGAGCGAGTGCGCTTCGATATTTACATGGTAAGTTAATTACTTACATATGGTCCAGGAATTATCTATTCAGTAAATTCTATTAAATACTTGGAACGAAGTCTAATATTGTTGTTCATCCACTAGGTCAAACGAAACAAGGAGTGTATAGCCGTCAATGTACAGCAAGTTTCGCTGCAGCAGCAGCAGCAACAACAGTTGCATCTTAATCAGCCAAATGCTGGAGGAAACATCAACCAGAATGACCAGTTAGCAGGATTGTCGAATGGAATCAGTAGCAGCAGCTCGAATGCTTCGCTACAGAATGGCTATGTGATGCACGGAAGTCCCGGTGGCAGTACCAGCAGCGTGGGAAGCAACAATCCGGGTCACCAGGCGGATGACTTTAAGATGGAAAACAACAATCATGCCGGATCTGAGGCTGGCCAAGTGTACCGTGGCTTTATAGCCGTTATGAAGGAGAATTTTGGATTCATTGAGACTTTGTCCCACGACGAAGAGGTCTTCTTTCACTTTAGTAACTATTTGGGCAACCCGAATTGGTTGGAATTGGGACAGGAGGTGGAATACACTTTGGCTCGTAACGGGAATACATCCGTTTCTGGAAACTGCCTGCCGGCGGAGAATGTCCGCATGCTGCCCAAGAATTCCATTCCTCAGCCGGCTGTACTAGAAACCACGCACAATGGTGTGGTGGCTCGTCCGCTGCGCTGCATCAATCCCGACCAGCAGGAATATGCCGGTCTCATTGAGATTCTCGATGAGTCACGGACTACTGTGATTTCGCAACACGAATTTGGGATCACTAGTCTGGTAAACAAGAGGGATCTGCTTCAGAAGGGTGACCTTGTTAGCTTCCGCATTGATGAAAGCGGTCGGGCTGCGAACGTGAATGCCGTGAGGCAGAAGAAACGCGCCACTGTGGACTCCATTAAGGGCCAGTTTGGATTTCTCAATTTTGAAGTGGAGGACGGCAAAAAGTTGTTCTTCCACATGTCCGAGGTGCAGGGCAACACAGTCGCTTTACATCCAGGCGACACCGTAGAGTTCTCCGTGGTCACCAATCAGGTAATGCTGATGATTAATAATACTAGAATAATTATATATTAACAAAAAAACCTATTTGTTCATCAGCGTAATGGAAAGTCTTCGGCTTGCAATGTTCTGAAAATAAACGATCGTCCAGATCGTCTGATCTCGCGCCTCAAGCTCAACGGCGATGACACTGTGCCGCGCCTAATACTCATTCGCGCACCCAAAGGACCGCAGGGCAAGGGCTTTTCCGTTCTAGCGCGTCATCCACGCATTCCAGGTGAGCAAAACTTAAACCCTATCATCTTATTGACCTTGTCTGACCTGGTAAAATTTCATTTTCTTTAGGCAACTTGGTGGAGTAGATTGCTGAAACTGATGCACATCAAAGACAACTACCTACAGCTATATATATTCTTGTACGCAAGCCATAAGCGAGCAGGCTACCAATCAACCAACTAACAGAAACGTGAACTTGTCGCCCTAACCATATACACAAACATTTATAACGAATATAATCCCTAGAAGCAAACACTATTGGAAACGATCGTAATTGATAATAATTGATAGCAAAGGCATACATTTAATATTTACGAAACTACTTAAAGGCAACTCAACAAAAGAACTCTTCGTGTCTGAAATCGAAACTTATTTGTAATATTACCAACTAACCCCTCCACCATTGTAACGCTTTGTTTTCAACTAGTTGCAACAGTGATCCGCGTTGTGGCCAGTTTGAAGCAAAATGAAATTGAAATCCAAGTGTCTGAGAGAAAAAACCAAAACGTTTGTATACGTATACTATTTTCTACTAGTTTGCTTTAATTTTAACTAATTAAAAAGAAAAAAAAAGAAAACCAATGCGAAAAACAAAACTAAGTGAGATGAAGGAAACAAGCAACATAATCTATGAAGTATTTATTATAGAATGGCAACGAAATCCTTGCATTATTGCGTTAGAATTTGTATAGAAACCAACACTCTCTAAATACATTTATCTATGGCTGGGATAGTTCCTGCTTCTATTGTATCTTGCTCTAATCGTATTCTTTTGTACTTCTCGAAAACTGTTCTTTCACTGCTTTCAATCTTACTGTTAACGATTTATATTTATTGAATAATAATTGTACTGTTGCAGCAGCAGCAACAACAAACAAGAAATCAATCAATGGAGTGAAGCAAGAAGAAAGTATTTATATCTACAAGTACATATATATTTTACATATTCATTAACGTAAAAACATACCTAATATTAATGTTATTATTTCCTTCGTTTTGATCTTCGCTTGTGAACACACACCAAGTTGTTTCGCCAATTATTTTGTTGCATTCAGACGGTTGCATTAACTTATTACATAACATATATTACACAAAACATACATGCTACATCGTAAATATTTATTTAAACAAACAACAAAACGCATTACAAAAACTCACAAAAAAAAAACAACAAAATATTGAGGAGAGAAGAAAATTACGAAAAGTTTTGTGTGACGATGAAGAGCAAATAAAATTTGCTGCGCCAAATCTGTTGAAACCATTTAATGAAGATTATAAAAATAATTTTTAAAAAATCTATATATACGAGGAAAAACTAAAAAAAAAATTAAATAAAAAACCAAAACCTTATGAGCGTGTCGTGTGTCGGTAACAAAGAGCAAATATTGTGAAAATTATGAATTTCAATTACTAAAGAAACAAAAACAAAATAATGTAACAAGAAAAATACAAAAAAAAAACACATTTAACAAGCTAACAACAAATTTGGGATCAGTACGTCCTATTATAGCCATGTTATATACAACTACAACAGCAAAAACCACAAAAAGAAGAACTTACATTAAGCAAAACACAGACACTCACAGACAAAAAACCAGAACAAAGAGCAAAAAAAAATAGTAACTTTAATATTGTATAACGGATTATACATCTACATACATAAAGATATATGCAGGATATAAATATATATCCAGCAGGGCGGGTGGGGTAACTGAGGTTGATGAATATAGTCGACAGAAATGCCAAACGCCATCGCAGCCCAAAAACATTTTCAGAGCGGCCGGCACCTGGGCATTTTGTCATTCATGCAATGCAAGAAATGAACAGCACAGTAACTAAAAATCCTTATTACGAAAAACCAACAAAAAACAACATAAAACATTTCAAATAAAACACAACAAAAAAATCGAAAAAACTTTAAAATGTAACAAAAACATCAAAAAAGATACAAAAAAAATACAAGAAAAATACATACATACATATGTGCTTGAATACGAAAAAAAAATCGCAAACTATATAAGTCAAATAATACAACAACAACAGAATAAATAATAAATACATATTTCAATAAACTACAAATCAGTCCGGTTTATTTCTTTAATCTAATTTGGGGATATTAATATATCAAAAGAACGCAACAGAATTATAATAAGAAAGGATAAGGATTTTCGAAGATACTTCCCCAAACCCTAAAAGTCGTTTCTTTTTGGTTTAATTTTTTGTTTTTATTTATAAGAATAATTTATATCTGCTTAGATTTGTTTGGTTACATGACATGACTATGGTATGGTATCATCATTAGCTTCACTTCAAACTCTCGTGTGCTTTCTTAAACTTCACTTTCCATTCGGTTGTTGGGCTCTCTTTTTAATATGCTGGGAATTACAATTTGTATCCTTTGTCCTTACGCTGCTTAAAATCTCAAGATCCTTTCATTTTTCGTTTATATACTTCTATACTCGTATGTGTTGAGGTTATTTCAAACATCTTATGATTTAACTTTTGCATTGATTTCTCGTTTAGTGAATATATTGCATTGATTTCGATTCGATTTTGTTTTTGCACATTAAATATATATCGCCTATTTATAAATAAATATATATATATATATATCGCTTAGGTTTAGTAGATATACGAGTATGGCAAAAATTGTGTTTTTTTGTGTGGGACTAGAACTGTTTTTGTTTTGACAAATTTAAAAACCGATCGATCGATTATCATATCATATATAAAGCCAGTAAAAAGGGATTCGTAATAAAAATTGAATTATGATTATATTCTCGTTAAACATTCGGGAAGATTAATTGATTCGATTTGAACTTACGAGTACTATTACAAAAACGTTCGAGCTTTGTATAAAAAATCGAGGTAAACTTGATAGTGCATCGGATCTGCTTGGGTGTTGTGTCCTTCACTTGTGTAATCCTTGCTTGCAATTGGTGTTAAGGGGAAACTCAGAGTTCTGTGTTTGTTTTTTTGGAGGCATTTGCCACCGAAGGCATTTCAATAATGGCTGTGTTCGATTCTGATCTCCTACGATGATGCATCCAATCAACAATATTCTGTTGGTTTTTCTTTTTTTTTTTTTTTTTTGGATGAAACGATGGACTACTTATAGATGGGCTCATGGGCATGATAGTGAAAAAAAGCATCGACCTAGTTGAGATACAATATATAGACCAGATCTTTTCGTTTTCTGATTTGTTAATCTATATCAAAGAGCGAGAGAAAATTTGAATTTTACTTTTCGTGTGTATTTTTCGGGGTGGGCAAGTTTTTCTTCCAGAACTGCGTATATACGAGTTATTATTTCTTATATATTTGTTTTCTCTTAATAGGAAGAAGTTAGATAGTCTTAATTTAAGTGTACATAGCTATATTTGATATCCAAGGGTTGTGCTTAACTTTTTGTTCGCCTTAGTGGCAATATTTTAATTGGTTTTCTTTTTTTTGTTTCTTTAATAACCTTTTTTCGAACGGGGAAACTTGAATTGCTTGTGCTGGCTACGCCAAGTGGGGTTTTCTTAGGGTTTCATCTTCTGGGATCGCCTAACCTAGCGTAACTGTGTGTTGGGGGACAGGTGTGTGAGTCTGGTGCTCCTAAATCGAAGAATATATACCATGGTTTTAGAGTCTAACGCGTTTTTCGTATGCTTCTTGATTACAGTCGACCTTCTCTAACTTGCGATTTAATATTACAAATTTGAATGGCACTAGCGTTTAACGACTGAGTTTCCTACAATTTGGTATTATAAATTAATGTTAAGATTTATATTATTTATATTATAAATTAATATATTTCAATAAACAAAAAAAACTTTAAGCAAAAAATAATTACATATCTTATAGAATTAAAATAAATTACAAAGTTAATTTAAATACCCTAAAATAAAAAAGGAATCTGAATGTTTTTCTTTGAGACACTAATTAAACTTTTACACTAACAGAAAATGACTACATTAATAGAAAACAATTTCACCGATTAGAATCCTAATTTTGTTATTTTTAAAAATATAACAACCTACTTAAAATCTCAATAAATATTTGGAAATTGAGAATATATTTCCAAATTTTCTTCGAGTTAGAGAAGTTCGACTGATTGATTTTTTTCATTTAGGTGATGCACTGTCATCCGGTTTAACAATCCGCCGGAATGGCACTTCAGGCGCTGTTCTTGGAGACAAACTCGCGCAGGATGTCGCCGGCCATCTCGATGTTGTTGCGCGAAATTCCCAGGGCGGTTATCGCGTTCTCCTTGGAGTAGCCCGCGTTCATCAGCCGGGCAATGTACTCCAGGTTAATGTTCTCGTAGGGCACGGTGCCGCAGTCTTTTTGATTGATCGTCACGTTCGCATAAAGCAGCGGCTGGGATTGCTGGGTAGGATTAGATTGCCCATTGCCCGACACCGCTGTCGCTGTTGTCGTCGTTGTAGTTTGGCTCTGTTTGGCCGGAGTGGCCTTCTTTCCATTGGCCAGTGCTGCAGCGGAACCACCACTGCTGGTGGTGCAAAGTTGCGTATAGTGGGAAGATGCCGAATCCTGCCGAGTCAAGGTCACGCCGCGCGCCTCCAACGGACGGGTATCGATCACTCCGCTAATAGTTTCCGCGGGACCTACCTCCACGATGTCCTCGTCCAGCAGTGAGAGCACCGGCGATGTAGTACTCGTTGATATGCGTTGCTGTCGCATAAGATCTTCGGCCAAGGTGTCCACGCTGGGCGAGACATGTGGCGGAATCGGTGGAGCAGTCGTTTGCGGCGGCACATTGTCCAAGCTGCACTGGATGTTGTCGATACTCTTGCTGCTGCTTGGTGGTGGTGGAGCCGTGGCCTTGCTGGGTGTCTCTACGCCAGGTGAAGATTTTCTGGGTGGCAGAGGAGGAGCCACCACTGCTGCCGCCGTTCCAGGTGTACCCGGATCATGAAGATTCTGTAAGATGGCATATGAACTCGAGCTGGAAGCATTGTCGCTGGAGGTGCTGTTGCTGCTGGTGGAGTTGTGGGGCAACTTCTGGCCATAGGTGGAATTGGCAACACAGGATCCAATTAGCGGTGCACTCATTCGATTTGTGTTCTTCTGACTGGTGCTGATTCCGCCGCCTCCACCTCCATTGCTAAGGACCGCCGAAGCAGGAGGAGCCGATGGCTGCGGTTGCTGATGCTGGGAGGAGGATGTTGAAGCTGTCACTGTTGCTACTAATGCTGATGAGCAGGAGGAGGATGTGGAGGCGGCGGCGATGGAGGAGCATGAGCTGCTGGGTAGGCTAAGGGTGGGCGTGCCGCCCGCATAGAGATCGTTCTGCACGGCCATCAGACTGGGCGTGGTACTGCGGCGTCCCAAACGGGGCGATGTGTGAGGACTGTGCTTCTCGGCCGCCACCGTTGAGGATGTGCTAAGTGCGTGGAGCGATGAGGTGGCTATGTTGAAGTCGCCCATGTCCTAAACATATCCAGAACAGAAATCAGATTAAAGGTATCCTTAAAGTTCAGTGGTCTTCAGTCATGGAATAATAAAAACTTCTAAAGTAACAAAAAGTTTCGAAAAAACTTTACTAAACGATTAAATAAAAACAATAGTCAGTGTAATTAAAATAAAACTAACGAAATTTAAATGAGACTATGTACAAATAAAATATGTTTAGTTCTTTTCCTTATAATTCCATGTGAAGGATTCCAACTGAACAATGTTGACCCCTTAAGCAGGTGTTTTGCTGATCATAGAGCATGCCGCTGGCTGGAGGAAATGGGCATGCACGTCAAACAGAAAATCTGAGGAAAATAAGAAGCCTCTAGGAGAAACACAGCTAAATAAATGAGGAAACATAAAAGTCAAGTCAAACCAATATTTAAATATTCGTATTATGCATATATTTTGTTTTGTTTCATTTTTTGTTTTTGTTTTTTTGTGGTCGTGTGTTGTTGTTTTTAGCCGTAATCTTATTAAGGAAATCAAAAACTAAATGCTAAAATGTATAAAAATTGCATTAGATGTATTATATAAATAGTCATTATCGTGTAGATTAATGCGATCTGTTTTAGTGTTTTTTTATATTAAGTTAACGAAATGAGCCGAAAAATGAATTCGATTTTTAAATTTATCTGCTAATACTTTTTCGTTCGTATTTTTGATAGCAACGAGCGCTATAAATTCTGGCCTTGTGACACAGGAAATCAAAAAATTAATTTACATACAATCTAACTACATTATCGATCGATTCGAGGCCTCCCTTTTGGTTTAGCCTAATTTCTTAATTTTCTCCTTTTTTTGTTAATAATAAATTACAGTCTTAGGGCAGCGGGGTGGCTGCTTACAAATAAAATTGAATAGATGAGGGGGGAGGGTAAACGCACGCTACTACAAACTAAATATATCTTTGGAAGTATTAAACAATAAACTAAAATGAAATAAACACATAACGGAGTAAAATGAATAAGAAGCATGATAGATACAAGAAATACTGCGGTTTACAGAAAGATAAGAGAGAAAATTAAGCTCGATGTGAAAGAAAAATTACAAAGTAATACAGAACTGGTTACAATTATTATAAATTCCATAGTGCCTATGTACAAAAGTGCAATCGAGGGCGAATCGAACCGATTAAAATGATTCATAAACAGAGGCGAACGTGATCAATAGATAGAGAGAGCGTGAGAGAGAGAGTTGGAAGAACGAACAACTAAACGAACGCACACAAACCAAACCAGCAGAGAGAAAACAGAGGAAGCGATAACAAACGATGGTTGATGAGCGACTTCCGGTCAAAGAACTTTAACTACGTTATATGCATGTGCGTGATGGACAATGGATGCGGTTGTCTGTGTATATGTGTGTGTGTGCGTGGGTCTATGAGTGTTAGTTGCATGAGTTTGGCTAATAATTTAAATATGTTACAGCTAAACAAACAAAATTAAACTCGAAACTGCAACTGCAAACTGCAGGCTAAACATTAAACTTATATAAACAATAGCAGTTGTAAAATCTAAAATATATAATATATATATATATATGTATATATATAGGCATATATAACTGTATAAACGAACCAAAGGTAATCATAAGAGTAATATGTATATAAATAGCAGCACAGGCGGCAGCGGAGCAGGCGGATCAGGCTGTGAACAAAACTATACCTCAGTGTCGTCTTCTTCCTGCTGCTGCTGTCGCCCATTGGTGACATTCCGGTTGTGTTGTTTGCGCGGATCGAAGGCGTCCACGACAATCTGTTCGGTGCCCTTGATCTCAGCCCGACAGAAGGGACATCCCTATAACATTTCACTGGTTAAATTTGCTCTATACAGTGGTTTAGTTATTTTCGCTCACCTGTCCCTCGGAATCCACTTGCCAGGAGGTGAGGCAGGGCGTGCACAATAAATGTCCGCAAGGTTCAATTCGGATGTCCTTGTCGTTCTCCGCACAGATTTTGCACAGCTGAAAAGTGCTGCCTGTAATCGCGAGACATATTTGTTAATACTTAAGAATTTTAAGAAATTACCTTTTAAACTCACCCATTTCACAGTATAGTTCGTATTGCTCTTGGGTTACGGTGATGTGGTCCTCGGTTGGACTTTGAACGGCAGAAGACAGATCCGGATTGTAAGCTTGGCCGTCCGGATACAAATAAAAGCCCTCGCTGAAAGTTTAAATAAAAATTAATAAGCCATAAAACTCTAGGTGTAGTCTAACAGAGGCTAATTTCGTTTTAAAATTTAAATTTTAAAGAAAACCGTAAGAAGTACTATATCTCACCGATGGCCATCGAGTAGCGCCTGGCACAGCGACTTATTCTGTGGGATTGTCTGCAGAATCTCTCCCTCGGCAGTGACGTATCCGATGGCCCATTGACCCAAACGCGTGCAGGAGAGCCGAAACACATAGCTGCCTGCCTTGAGGATGTAGCGCTGCAGGCGAGCTTTCACCTCGTCGTATGTGAGAAAGGCCACGTAGCCCGGGTGTGTGACGGCCAGGATCTGCCAGTTGCGCAGTAAGGTTACCCATGGCTGAAAGAGTCGTGTGAATACGTCGAACTCGAAGTTGGAAATGAAGTCGTTGCAGGTCAGATCAATGGTGGTCTTTAGAGCCATAGCCTCCAAGCCGGAGATTATGGGGTGTACTTTATTTAGCTCCTGTCGGAAGATCTTCCAGGGAACCAATGTGCTGTAAAAAATTCAAAAAGTTGTAAGTATTTGTATTTATATTTGTTATCGGAATTTTCTCCATTATGTTTAAAATGTGTACATAGCTACTGATAAAGAAATCAAACAAGAGATTTCTTTAACCGCAAAAAAAAGTTTATTGTAAGCGCAATGATTTTATCACATTACGATAAAAAGTAAAGTACCATATGTACATCTCAGCGATAAAAAGCAAAATAGGGAAGCCTAGAAAATGCAAGATAACATCCTAAGAATAGAACCGAAATCGAATGTTTAGTTTCGCAGATTTCGTACTTTTTAAAGATACTAAATGATACATTCTAAATAACTGGCCAGCGATGGTAGTGAACCGGTTAAAACTGGTTTGATTCTTTCACGATTTTGGTTTTGATTTTCAAACCTTCTATCTCCAACAAGCTAGCAATAAGTTTAAACCAAATGCGATTTAAGTTCCAAACTAGGTCTGAGATAAGCCTTCAGCTCACCTGTTACCGAAGTTACTCTTCCAGAAGTCTGCCGCATCTGCTTTGGTGATCCGAAACTGATCACCGGCGAAGACCCCGTTGGGGAATATAGCCTTTAGTTCACTGAGCATGTGCGAGAAAACCAAACTGAGCTTAGTGAGATTCCTGCGGTAGTGGGAGTTCTCGTCGAACATCTTCTCCTTGCCCTCCTTAAAAAGCTTGATGGCCTGCTTGCATTTTCGCATCAGGTTGTTGATGAACACGTTGAAGTGCTCGTTGGCATGGAGCAGGTGCATCTGATCCTCGTTCTTCGAGTAGATCAATCTTAAGCGCTGATAAGTATCCGGCAGGATATCCAAAATAAATGGTGGACTATTCTTTAGGTTCATCTTGGGCTGTTGGCATAGTTTGACCACCTTGTCCATCAGTTTCCAAGTCTTCTCGAGCGTCTTCTTATCGGTGGACAGGCGCTGTGAGACGCAAGCTTCCGAGATGGCGCCGTGGAGCTTGGAAAGCAGCGATGGGAAAATCTTTGGCTGCGATTGCACACGGGTTCCACTGCCTCTCGTCGCCATCTTTTCTCTCTGTCGCTGCGCTGCCGACTGCGCTGCCTCGTCTTCTTCTTCTTGCTCTTCTCCTTCTTGCTGCTGTTGTTGTTGCTGCTGTCCGTGTAGTAGTAGTGGTGATTTCTATCCGACTTTTCTCTTAAAATCTAATCCAACATCCGATTTATATCCCCCAACTAGGGGAATGGCTTTATCTTTAACTCTGCACTTGGCGTGTGCATTTGGGGCTACGCGTTTCGGCGACGTTTGCGTTTTTAAAAACCCACACAATATTTTCGACTTTTTCAATGAGTGCGATTTCGATGTGACCGCGGCTTCAATGCTAGTAAATACCACTACATTTTTAGCAGTTGGGCACATTGTGCGAAGGGTTGCATTTGGCCGTGACGTCACAGTTGACCGCTTTAAAGAATACGTTACAAAATGGCGAATTTAAAACGTTGTGCTCAAGAAATGTACTACTTAGCATAAGGATTTGATTTAAAGGATTTAAATTCGTTAAATATAAATACGAATGAATATGTAATGTAAAATAATTCATAACTGTAGAATTGTACCCTGTAAAAGGATTTAAGCTGAAAATTGGTAAATTGGTATGTAGTTGAATTTTTCCATCTACCAATATTTTCCTTGCAGAGGCGAGAACTCTCCCCTTGCCATATAATTTCCGCCATTTATCGACCGATCCACAGCCTTGCATTTATATAATACTCGCACTAGTTCGCAGGTCCAAAGCTGTGTTTAGATGGAAAGAAAACCCGCAGAACAGGTGCGTGGCTCTTGCCTTCTATCGTTTATTATGGCCATCTTTTCGCACACGATTTTTTTTCTATTTTTTTTTTAATATGCACTGGCACTGCAGCCACAATTTTCACTTTCCATTTTTATTGGCAACCGCAGGCGAGTGCCGTCAAATATTTGGCCAAAAAAGAAACTGCACGGCTGCCAAAAGGTTTTTACGTCTCCAGCCTGGCTTTCTTTTAATTAAATTTTGGTTTTCTGTTTTTAGTTGATTTTTTTTATCTTTTATTTTTTGGTTGTGCGCATGTCTTTTTGTTTGGGATCTGCAAGTTGTCGTGTTTGGGGGCATTAGTTCTGGGCGCTGGCGCTTAAAGCCGAGTCACGCCTGTCATATGCAGTTTGGCTTTTTTTGTTGAGCTCGGCATTTGGCCGTGGCTCTCTCTGATCTGCCCAAAAAGCTAACTGTAAACATTCACTTACTGACCTCTTTTTCGGCGGCAACTTCCACCTCCACTCCACTCAATTTTCTTTAATGCACGCGACTCTGCCGCCAATGATCTGCTTCTTCATCTTCCTCCACCCGCCGCCTTCGCACAGTGGTTCGTTTTTGAAAAGAAGGGTATACCGCATTTTCCAAAAATCAGGATTTATGGCTTTACGTTACCCGAAGAACAGCTTAAATGCTTCAAAAATGGTTAAAAATTCTGCAGTTAGCAGCACTGTGGTTTGGATTTTACAAATATAATTTGTTCTAAACTAGATAATTTAAAGATTTAAAAGTATAAGTTCTATATAGATAGAACAAATACTTTAAATTAAATCTCGAAAAAAAATAATTTTGAATAATTTATTATGAGAAAAACTTAAAAAAATAGCGTTAGAAATATCCTAGTTTTGTTAATCAGGACACTGTGCGCTGTGAGAGTGGGAAATGTGTGTGTGTGTGTGCTTTGGGAGATTGTGTGTGTGTGACCCTTATTCGCAACAGTTGCTGAGGCGTAAAATTTATGGCTTTAAAGTCTACAAGTCTATAAACACAGCTTCCAGGCTGCACTTTCTACTGCAACTGCAACTGCCAATGCCACTGCCACTGCCGCAACCACTGAAACTGAATCGTGGATCGTGAATATTGTATATTGGACGTGGGATATTGGAGATATTGGAGGGGCACGGCTGGAGATGGATCTGATCGGATCGGATCGTGTGTGTGCGTTATAATTTCAAATGCGGTTCGCCTTTTTGGTTGCATTTTGCTGCCACTTTTGGCAAATTAAATTTGTACGCAAAACCGATTAGGCCAGCAGACATGACCAAGTTGTTATTTTAAATACCGACAACTCCATTTAATCAATATGCCCATGCAGCCATCTATGCACTTGAAAAATGTTTGGGCTTTGGAAAAGTCGAGAAAAACGTAAAAAGAGTTCAGCTTTTACTAAACAATAAAGTTAATATCAAGGACTAATATTAAAATAAGGCTAGAAATAAATTGGATTTGTACTTTTCTTCCTATAAATTTAAATTTACATTTATTATATAAATGTAAAAATTTCTAGCCTTTGTTTAGGGGAAAATTTTATAGTGTGAAGATTGAACCAAATTTCTATTAACTATCCGAAAAAATTAAAATCATCTAGAATAAGGAATTTGTACAGCTTTTTAAAACTCCTTTTTTATATACTTATTGAATGATATAATTCTTATATAGAAGGAATTATTTCCCTGAGTTTGTATATTAACAGCTTATGTACATATATGTTCTTCTTTGGATTATATTTAAAAGTTTAGTAAAGAAGAAACCTCAAAATTACTTTAAGTGTAGCGGCAACAACAACATCATGTGAGCGCGCTGGATGCTCTGCTCTGTCAGCGTCGACTGCGCTGCCTTTCACCCATATAAATTTCTTTTCATTGCAAATTTTTTGCCATTCGTCGGCGCATTGTCAAACCTTTCAGTCGCATTTGGAGCTTAAGCTTTCCGAGATTTCTGAGCGACTCAACCATCTGCAAACGACAAAGGTCTAAAAAGCGAGGGGAAAATAAGAAAATAAAAAATAAAACTACAATACAAATCGGATGCGAGCGCGAGTGTGTTAGTGTCCATTCATTCATTCAGCAACAATAAAAAATAAATGAAATACAAAATGCAATCGTCGCAGTTGCAGTCAGCGTCGCAGTAGACGTCTGCAGAGGCAGTGGCAGAGGCAGCGACGGAGGCTGAAAAACAGTAGCATCACATCAAAATCCAAAAGAGAGATCATTTTTCATATGCGAATCGAAACTCGAAGAGCGCGCATCAAAGTTAAATTCAAACGGCGAAAGAGTAACGGACAAAAGGCGAATTGTTTTGTGTGCATCATACGAAGAATACAAAAAAAATGAAATGATATAAAATTAAAGCCTAAGCAGAACGTAATTGAAATCAAATTAAAGACCGGCCGTGCAAAAATATACACAATAAAAAACCGAAAGAAATAAAGCCAAGGCTATAAAAAAGAAATTATGCTCCATTGTGCGATTGTGTGAGAGGTCAAGTGCCCGGCAGGCAAAAGAAGGAAAGAGCGAGATACAATATAGACACAAACTTAATGTTAATAGGCAAACGAATGAACTCATAAAAGGGCAAAAGAGAGGCCAACACTTGGGTAAGAAGTAGCAGTAGCAGCAGCAGCAGCAGCACTAGCAGCAGAAGAAGAAGAGCAGGCCAAGCCCAAATGACCGCAAGAATACCGTTAATTCGAACAGCTTCAGCGGTATTACGAGCATTTATATAGTCTATATAGTCAGTCAGATTTTGACAGACAGAGTAAGAGACACAGAGACAGAGAGAAAAACTACTTTCTTCATCGCATAACTAAAGTGAACTTCAGCCGCATAAAAGTTTGCTACTATTTCAATTTCAATTGTTAACGAGCGAAAGCGCCGCCCGTCTCGTCACGCACACACACAAACAAACAAACAAACAACAAAAAAACAAATAAAAAACAATAAATAGCAGGAAAAGTGCAGCAGACAGCAGCGAAAATGTACCAACGACAGCATCTCCCCTCCGCTTTAAAAGCCACCCAAACAGAGACCCACAGATTTAGCCAGACTCTAAGCCAGATCAAGAAATGCAGCTATAACCACAGCTTCAAACTGAGTCGCAGTCTCAGCATTAGCCGCCCGAAGAGCCAGCGACAGCTGTTTGGCGCACTGCTGGCCGTGTTCATGTTGGCGGCATTAGCGTCAACCACCAATGGTAAGTCACACATGCAGTACACCAAGAGAAATTAGAAAGAATTGCAGTAAATATTGTAAGTTGTAATTTGTTAGATAGATATATAGGATTAGATTTAAGTGGTTCTTAGCGGTTACAATTTTTTATTTCTGGGTTAAATCGACTTTCCCATTATCAAGGTTCCTTAGGTTCTAGGCATTACTACCATAAACCGAATTCTAGGAACTCTCATGTTCTCAATTGAAAAAGCCAACTGATCTGAAGTTAAAGGAAAGTTGCAGACAGACTGCGAGTGCTGTCTCAATTACCGCCTAATTTCTCTGGGTGTTGAAACGGAGAAGGTGACTCCGGGGTCCGGATCTAAGACCTACAGCTGTGCGGTGGTAGAAAGGCCGTCGTAGCAGCTATTAATTTCTAAGGTACTACTACTCCGCACAAAGTGAATGTAAACTGGCACACATGAAACGGAGGAGAGCTCCGAGACCCCTAGACCCCAAACTCTACAGTTTTTTTTCAGACCCTAGCTCCTCGACGCACAACATGCTCGTAAATATTTTCGTGCACAATTTGTCCAACATTCAAATAAATTCATTAAAAGCACGAAGGGGAGATACAGAAGCCAGGGGCACTGAAAGGGGGAATAGTTCATGGGGAAATCAAGAGCTGACCGACCGCACAGTGGAAACGAGCTTAAAATCGTGATAAACGGCCCGGGGGGTTAAATAAGGGGGTATAAATCGTTTTAAGTTGACCCGGAGAGAAATGATTTGTTTTACTTGTAAGCGCGATCATTTGCTTAATTGATAACAGCACTTCATTGGAGATTGATGGGTGAAAGATCAATTAGTTTTGGATGCTGTGATCTCACATACATATATTTAATGGCCTCAATCAGAGACGCCATGATTCATCACTGGGCTTGGTCTTGCTCTGCTTTCCACTGTGCCACACCATAACAAGAGCAATCCGAGCACACATATTGCATTATATACTATGTGTGGTACATATATCATGCAAAAGTCCCTGCCCAGCAATGTAGTGCGTTGGTTGCTGGATTTTTCCACTTTTGAAAATTATACGGTGGCTGCTTTTATTATTTCTCTCGCCTTTTTTTGCAATTGATGGCATCCGATAGGCAGGAGCCTGGCAGCCACTCGCTGGAGGCCAGGAAAATGCGCCTGCACTTGGAAAAATATGTGTATATTTTATTTATGAAACTTTCGAAGTTCAGTGGTTGATGTTTAGAAGTTGAAACTGCGAAGCTCATGTCTGTAAGGTTCTTTTCCTTTTATAAAAATAATATTTCCTTTTGGGATGTTTCACTGAAGTTTAATCAATATAATTTTTTTCATTTCTGATAGAAGAAGTCATATAGTTTTAGACTGATGTTTATAATAGGCTGATGTTTATAATGACTTCAATGTTATTCGCTTAATAAAACCGATGATCGAATCCCATGAGTTTACGTGTTGTCCAAATTTTTCTTCGAGTGCAGAAATGGTGAGAGTGGGTGGAGCGGTTGAGGTCGCATAGTTGCAATACTGAATGAGATAGGCTGCGGTCTCGGCTTTTGCCTCTGACCATTCCAGCGGATCGTTTACATGTGCATTAATTCCTAACGCCGCTTAATTTTCTCTGAGCTTAATGGCTCCGCTTGATGTTGATGCCGATGCCTCTGCATCTGCCTCCAATTCAGATTCAGATTCGGATTTGTATCCAGTCAGAGTCTGAGTCCATTAAGCTGAGAATGCGTCTGGCTGGCTGGCTGACTAGCTGACAGACTGGCTGGATGTTGAAATTTCCATCTTTATGGCCGGCAGCAACAAATTGGAATAATGAACGTGGGTTCAATTATCGCAGCCAAACAATCGTGGCAGCCTCAAAGAGCGCTAATAGATTTTCTACAGCTAGTGGGTATATGAATGTATATGTATATCTCTAACTGAGTTGAGTGCTTCCTCCGGAGGCGGCTCTCACAGCTTTCTTTGCAAACAAATCCAAACAAAGCAAAAGCAATGCTGGGCAAACCAAGCCAAACCAAAACTTAACTGAATCAGCGCGGTGCCACATCCGACTAAAGACAACAGAAATGTTCGGTGCCGGAGGCAATTAGTGTGGAAATTTCACTTGCAGTTTTTAGCACAGATTAAGCTTACGATTTCTGGAGGGGATTAGCATGAACAATTATAGATGGAGGTCGTTGATAGTATGAATGTGTACGAATGTATGTATAATAATACTTGTGCTCAAATCCCAGCCATAAATGCCATTGTGTTGTCGTTTTACTTGGAATCGAGATTTGAAGACGGGTAACATTTGCCATTAACCGTTAGTAAAGGGAACTCCCCCCACTCCCGCTTCTATTGCCTACCGAATTATTCAACTTAATGGCTGGTTACTTGAGTCGGTCATGCGATCACTGCAGAACTTGGACGATGCTCGAGGGTGGCGGCATCGGAGTGCGAGGAGAAGGAGGGTTTGGAGGTGGGCCAAACAGTGGGTCACAACTGCGCAAAATGCCCTATGATCGTGCGGCTAATCTGACATTTGTATGCCCAGAGCCGACTCTTCCGCATGCCGTCAACGAGCTAAGGAAAATACAAAGGGAAAGTTGAATTTTTAGCGGGTTCGAAACTGAGTTACCCTGGGAAAATTCCGGAAAAAGTGCGATGTTATTTAGTTAATCAGAATATAATTCGTTTGATTGGAAATCAAAAATGGAAATTAGTTTCCTGTTAAGTTAAAGCTGTAATAGTTTAGAGATTTGAAAATCTGACTTCAGTTATAAAAGATTAGATCCAATCTCATCAACTTCCTTAATACTTTTCTATAAAATGGAAAACTTGGGTGGGATAATTTCGCCTTCAATTTAAATTTCTAAAAAAATGCAGAAGCGATGTTAATTATCTAAGGCTATTATCCTCATTTTCACAGGCGCTGTAACAGACTCACCCATCAAGATCATTCGGCTGCCGGCGCAGGCGCCAGTAATTCGCTATCGCAGTGCTGATGCGGCGCCGGACTCGTTGCTGATTAACTATCGCCAGGATGCTCAGCCGGAGTTGTCGTCCACATTGATGCAGGCCCCTGGCGCAGCAGCAGCTGCATTGGAATCCCTCCTTCGTGATGAGACGGAGCAGCAGCAGCTGGCGCAAATGGGCAGGCGAAACAGGGCGAGTGCAACTACTACTGGAAATTGTCCGAGATCTTGCCCACCGAGCATAACTGTGGGAGCTGAGCCCGTGTGCGGAAGTGATGGTCTGATCTACGCCAATCTCTGCGAGCTGCGCAAGAAGACTTGTTCCCGTAGCGGTGTTTCTTTAATAAAGGATGTGCGAGATGGCTGCGAACGGTCAAAGGGTTCGGACTGCAAGCATCGCTGCAGCACGGAAAAGGATCCGGTTTGTGGAACGGACGGAAGGACCTATTTGAATCGCTGCATGTTGAGGGTACAATCCTGTCGTGTCGGTTTGGCAGCCGTAAAGCTATCGCATGTTGGTCCTTGCAGCAATACCAGTGCTGTACGTGAGTCCTGTCCTGTGGATTGTAATAGTGCTCCAAAGGATGGACCAGTGTGTTCATCCGATGGCAATGTTTACAATTCCACCTGCGAGATGAAACTTCATACGTGTGGACAGGGTGTGGTGAAGACCAGTAGAAAGCACTGTCAGTCCACCAGGATGTGCAGGGAGTCTTGCTGGAGGGTAGCGAGACCCACTTGTGGCTCCGATGGGCGATTATATGCGAGTCCCTGCAAGATGCGCTCCTCCAATTGCGGTAAACATGTCTTCGAGGTTCCTTTGTCCTTCTGCATGCCTCAGGAAAGGCATGGCAGTGCATCCGATGCCTGTCCAACCGAGTGTCCCAAGTCAGAGGCAGATTCCTCGTCGCAGTATGTGTGTGGAAGCGATGGTAACATCTACTCTTCGCTCTGTGAACTGAAGATGCTCAACTGCGGGTGAGTTTGACTCTCGGTTAATAAAAGGAAAACCATTCTTATTTTTGACTTCTAGTCCCCAGCGTAAGTCCATCCAAAAAGTGAGCATGGACAAGTGTAAGAATCGACTGACTCGCTGCAAACAACTGCCACCTTGCAAGGATTTCAACAGCCTATTTGGTTCCATATTCAGCTCAAAGCGAAATGACAAGCTCTGCGGAACGGATGCAAAGACATACAACAATGAATGTGAACTAGCCCATGCCACCTGTCTGTAAGTACTGAATAAGTATCTCCTTTTAGTAGCTTTTACCAATTCTTTACTTTTCTTTCAGACGCGGCGTTAATCTGGCCCACATTGGACCCTGCACTGATCTCAATTCGCCCACCAAGGATTGCGGGGATGCCTGCACCCGGGCGGATTTGGAGCAGCAGCCGGTGTGTGGATCGGATGGCAATACCTTTGCTTCCATGTGCGAATTCAAGCGGCGCACTTGCAATCTACGTGTGGTGCCTGTTTCGCTGAAGAACTGCGCTTTGACAGTCGACTGTGAATCGGATTGTGATGCCCAGCCGCCGAACTTCGTCTGTGGTTCGGATAACAATTTGTACAAGTCCGAGTGTCACATGCGTAAGGAGAACTGCGGCAAGCACGTGTTCGTGGTACCTCTCAAACGGTGCCTGGCCGCCTTCCAACTCAAAGGATGTGCTCGCATCTGTCCGAGGGAATTTGAGCCTGTTTGCGGCAGTGACAATAAAACCTATCTGAACGACTGTTTCCTGGAGATCGAGAACTGCAGGGCGAACCAGACGGTCAACGTCAACTACTACGGCGCCTGTGGCCGCCCCGAAGCACCATCCACGAACTTCCTTTACTAGGTTTTTTGTGTGGCGCCTTCACTTTCACTTGGCATTTAATATTTTTAGGCTATAGTCTTGTATTGTAATTTTTTAAAGCGATATTTATTGAGTTTATATTAAAGCCCCCAACGAACTTACAAGGAATGCACTTGAACCCAGGCCTGGGACTTAGTTCTAAGCTGAATCATCGAAGAGCTTGCTCAGCATAGCGTTGATTTCGTGCTGTCTGTACTTGACGTATTTGTCAGGATTCTTGCTAAAGTGCACCCCAGAGTAACTAAAAAGCATAAAAGTTCATTAGATAAGGATAGAAAAACTGAACATAAACTTACATTTCGTAGAATCGATTGTATTTTGGTAATATGTGTTCCACGTTATCACGTTTGATGCCTTCTCGCAGGATGACATCGGGTATCGAGATACCCCGCTGAATTTTACAAGCTTCTTCGAAGTCCTTGTTGAAGTTCTGCAAGTGAAAAAAATTAATTTTATTTTAGATTCAATTATATTTTTAATAGTTAGTTTAATTTTGTATAGAACTTACAGAAAATCTCTCCTTTAGCACACTGCGATCCTTGTCCTTGACCTTGCCGGCCACTGGCTTGGGCAGTTCATCCAATGAATAGATGCCCACCAGCATTTTGGACCAGGTCTTCTGATAGCTAGCCTTCAGTTCGCGGATCATCTCCATGTAGCTATGTTCGCACTCCGGTTCTGCCAGGGTAACCAAATCAATGAGATTGGAGCGCTGCAGTGACTTGAGGATGTAGTGGATGTTGTTCAAACGGAAAAGATGCTTGGTAGCCTGGTCATTATACTGCTCACATTTGTTCATTATGGAAAGATTCAGTTCCGCTAAAGCTTTCTCTATCGAAAAGAATGAAGTGTTTAGATTTAGAAAGCTTAATAGGAAGTTATCTCACTTATGTAAATGGCTAATAGAGCCTTATTGCGTTCATCACCACTCAAAGCTTTTTTCATAAGAATAGTATCCAATTGTGTGGAGTATAGAACATCCTGTGCCAAAATGGAACCAATTACATCAAAGTGTTCGTATAAGTGCTCAATAAACCAGATCGTATTGGACGTTAGCTCGTGGACGGTGGCATCTTTTGGAACATTGCTCTGGCCAACAATGTTAGTGCTTGATTCACCTTTAACTACGTCCAGGAAGTGCTCCAAAGCCTTGGCTCCAGTATGCTGTAACTTGTTTAAAACCTTCATTAGCTGTTCTCTTTGCGCAGGATCATAGGTGCGTTCAATGTCCGGTTGTAGAAGGATCACACGCTTTAGGGCGGAGAATATTCCCAGCGCCGAGGTCCACTCTTTACGGGAAATACAACGCAGGATCCGTTGAGTAATGGACTCCGCGTCCTTGACCACCAGATCGATGGCATTATAGGCCAAACGGGCAAATACTTCGTTGTGTTTCGACTGGGGTATAATATCGTGCATGATAGCTCGCTCCCAGTTTAGCAATCTTTGGAGTCCCAGCAGCATGACCAAGTACTTGTCAAGCTCCTGATCCCCATCCAACAGATCCTCGGATGTCAAATGATCGCTGTGCGAGGATGCCTTTTTAATAGAGAAGCCGGTGGACTGTTCAATGGTCTGAGTAGCCCTTAGATATAACTTATTGGCCTTCTTTTCAAATCTGAGGATTAACAGACTCATGGTTATTTGGGTTATAGAATTACGGAAGTAAGACTCTTACATTTGCTGCAATCGGGCAGACGTATTCTTTTTGGGTTCCGTTTGTCGTCCACTGTGACGCGGTCTCTACAATAAGTAAAAACAATTTTGAGTTTTAAGATACGTGGAAGTGCTTGAGGGATACACTCACCAGTGCCTCGTGACCCCAGCTGTTACTCTTCTGGTGATCCTTAAGCAGCTGCAGCGATCGGAGTACAACATCACCTCGTTCCGTGGCGTAAATGTGGATGTATTGTCTTAAATTTTGCTCTAGCCAGTGGGAAATAGTGTACAGCTCCTCGCGAGTCGTTTGCGACAACTGCCGGAATGAGGTATATTCATCGCTTGAGTCATCCTCTATGTAGATCAGATCCAACAGCTCCACGGGCTTCAGCGGAGCACTGTGCTTTTTAAGCAGCATGCTGTAATGCTGATTCAGACCCTCACATCCAGTATTGAACAAGCTGGTGACATTTTCCAGTTCTACACTCTGAATATTGTTGTGTCGAAAATAATCAGAGGCATCTCGGAGTTTGGCTAGTGCATCCAAAAAGGCGGAAATATTTCCCTCTATGGGACCCTGGTGAATCAACTGACATACTTCCTGGGAGACATCGTAGTGAGATAAGACAATTTCCAGGCAACTGAGAGTGGCTTCAAGATCTTAAAAGAGGCGGTGACCAATTTGTTTTCGAACAATCTCAACTTTTGTTAACTTACTTTTCTGCCTATTCTGGAGCTGCTCCGTTTCCTGGTACACGGGTAATATAGTCTGTTCTAGGTTTCCCAATCGCTTTTCGAATATTGTAAGGATGTTGGACATTTGAGTGGACAGATCGTGATATTTATCCACTCGGTCTTTCAACAGAGCCAAATTGGTTGCTTCCTATGGAGATAAAGTGATTATGTGGAATTCTAGGATAACAACCTTATTTACCTTCTCTAACTTATTATGTGCTTGCAATGAACTGTCAAGATTGTTCATTTTCAAGCCTTAATATGCTATAAATCCTTTTAAAATAATAAGTTTTTGTTTAAAAGTGAAAAGTTATTGTTTCTTATTTTGGTTGGGCGAATTTGGACATTTTTACGCATGACCCTTCGGTCACACTATTTACTATTGCTTTGCCAACTTCTTTGTACTAAATTAAATTTAGATCTCCACATGGTTTTAAAATTTGAAAAACTATCCAAAGTGCCATTACTATCCAAATTCACAAACTTTTCGAGATTATATTAAAATATTTAATTTGAGTTTAACAAGACAAATTTTAAGACACCAGGTCCTTTACAAAAAGTTTACAATACATACTTAAGTTCAAATTTTCCGCTTATAGTAACAAAACAAAATTTTTTTGCAAATAACATATTCAAATATAATGGTGTGATGCCAGCAATCTGTTTATAGAGTTTGAAGGGCATCCATTATTCGGTTACAGTCTTCTTCAGCTTTAAGGCCGATTTTCATGAGATCCGCACGCTCCATGGAAGCCAGTTCCACCAAATCGATATGGGCCTCTTCAAAATTGGTCACATAGTTCTCCAGGCCCATGTGCATAAGTACCTGTTCCACATTGGCAGCATGGTTTACTACATAAGAATGGTTGGAGGCTTTTATAGAACGGCGACGCGTCTCCAATGTGAGCGAGGTCTCCATATTTGAGTCATCCGAACAGGTGTCCGGACTGCTGCAACTTTTGAATTCCCGCTCCGGCTCAATAACCTCCTCCTGTGGTTTGGGCAAGTTAAAAACCGGAGGTTTTAGCTGTGTACGGTGAATATGTTGATGATGTTGACGTTGATGACGATGATGATGGACCTTCATCGGCGGCTTCATTAATGTTTCAAACCGCATGGGCGATACCGGACTCTTCTTCATGCACATGCTCTCGATGGGCGAGAGATTAGGTGAACGAAAATTCCCAAAAATTGGAGTTGAGCATCGTACATTGGAGGTGTTAACCTTGAGGGTGTTCCACTTACGCTCCTTTAACGTTGGAGTGCGGTTAAAGGCGATTTTCGTTTCGTTTATGGGTGTACGGTAATTCTCCATTTTGAATGCGCTTTTGTTTAATTATTATGACACAAAAAAGATGCGTTGCTTGCGAGTTCAAGCTGGCAAATGGCGAACATTGGTGTTGACCAGAAATGGAGCTACACAGAGAGCTTTTTCGAATTAAATCCGTTACTCCAAGCAACCAGAGATGGGAAAAACACAACTTTTACATGTACAAGTATATTCACTTTTGAGATTTACACTTTAACTAATGTAAAATCATTGTCATCTCCTAGTTTGGCTGGTGCATCGAGTAAGGCGGGAAGAGAACCTGGAGGATCACCTGGCACCTGTCATTGCTAATGCGTTGCCAACTATGCACTAAATGCAATTTTTAGATCTCAGAAAACGTTTTACGAATTAGAAAAACTACCCAAAGTGCCATCACTAGCAGAGACGCCAGCTTTTGTTGTGGATCTGGTTGCCATGGAATCTGCGTGTAAACAACGCACCTGCATTTAGGAATTTTTAACAACTATGCAGGATTAACCAATTCGGCTTGTGCAATAATGAGGGGTGTTCTTAAATGGCTAGAACGCATCGAGTTTCCTAACAGCAAAGAAAACGAGATCAGGTAAAGATTTCATACATCTGAATTACCACAACCTGTTGCTACATAACGGTTATCGTAAAACATCTTTTTCCAGTGTCCACAATGTTTGCTACGCCCCCGATGGTAGTCAATTGGTGGTGGCTGCGGGGGATCGGTTGCTCATCTACGATCCCAACGATGGGTCCTTGCTTAACACCTTGAAAGCCCATAAGGACACTGTCAATTGTGTGGCCTACTCAAAAGATGGCAAGAGATTTGCCAGCGGAGCCTCCGATAAAATGGTCATCGTGTGGTCTCCACAGCTTGAGGGACTGCTGAAGTATTCGTGAGTACACCAAAAAAAAACTACTCAGACCAAATTTTCCTTTTTCGATTAAGTATTATGTCGAATATTGTATGTCCAAATAAGTTTAAGTTTTTTAGTTATCAGTAGGTGTTAAACTTTTCCACAGGCATGGCGACTCCATTCAATGCATGAGCTTCAATCCGGTTTCACACCACCTGGCTTCATGTTCCCTATCGGACTTCGCATTCTGGTCGGCGGATCAAAAGGCGGTGCAGAAATACAAAATATCCGCCCGAGTTAATGGGTGCTCCTGGACAAACGACGGTCAGTATCTTATACTGGGCCTGGCCAATGGCACCATATCCATTAGGAACAAGTTGGGCGAAGAAAAGGGACGCATCGATCGACCCGGTGGCCCCAACAGCAACGTCTTTAGTGTACAGTGCTGTCCGGCTAGTGGTCCGGGCAGTGTGGACACCATTGGCGTGGTGGATTGGGGTCAGACGTTGTCCTTTCATACCTTAAGTGGTCAGATGATTGGCAAGGAGCGAACTCTGGGCTTCGATCCTTTGTGTCTCCAGTACTTCCCCAATGGTGAGTTTTGTTTGGTGGGTGGCTGCACTGGGGGACTCCATTTCTTTACTAGGGAGGGAATTCGGTTGGGCACGTTGGGCGACAGTTTCGACACCTGGATCTGGACAGTAGCCCTACATCCGAACGGTCAGTCCTATACTATTGGTTGCCAGGACGGAACCCTTGCCTGCTTTAATATTGCTTCGAGTACCGTGCACGCCCTATACCGAGAGCGGTATGCCTTCCGGGAAAACATGTGTGACGTGATCATCCAGCACCTGATCTCTGGCCAAAAGGTACGGATCAAGTGTCGGGATTTGGTACAGAAGATAGCCATCTATCGGAATCGATTGGCGGTTCAGCTGCCGGAGCGTGTTGTTCTCTATGAACTGAGCTCCGGCGAGGACCAGCCCATGCATTATAAAGTGCGCGAGAAGATCCAGCAAAAGTTTGACTGCAGCTTGCTGGTGGTCTGTGGCCGTCATATAGTCCTATGTCAAGAGAAGCGACTGCAATGCTTGGACTTTATGGGTGTCTTGCAGCGAGAGTGGATAATGGACTCGTTTATCCGATATATTAAAGTCACTGGAGGTCCGGTTGGCCGGGAAGGACTCATGGTGGGCTTAAAGAACGGCCAAGTGTTCCGTATCTTTCTGAACAACTCGCTGCCTCTACTTATAACAACTGCTGTATCTGCTGTTCGGTGCCTGGATATAAATTCAAAGCGTAGCAAAATCGCTGTTGTGGACGACGTGGGACGTCTTGTAGTGCGCGACATTATCAATGATACGATTTTGTACCAAGATACGGGTGTGAACAGCGTTACCTGGAACACACATCTGGACTCAATGCTCTGCTATACCCATTCCACGGGCGGATTAAGTGTTAGAGTGGGAAATCTGCCACCAAGGGCTCCACAAAATATGCATGGCGTAGTGGTCGGACTTTGTGGAGCGACAGCCTTCTGCCTGCGCGGAAATATCATGCATAATACGCCATTGGCTCTTGGTTCCACAATGTGGCAGTTTATCGAAGCTGGATTGTTTGAGTAAGTAAAATTGTCTTTTATTTAAGCATCCCTTACTAAATGATTTTGCTTTTACTCCAGGGAAGCTTACCAAGTAGCTTGTCTGGGTGTGACCACTAGTGACTGGGAGGGTTTAGCTCAATCTGCTTTGGAGGCACTACACATTAATATTGCACGCGATGCCTACGTTAAAGTGAGAAACCTTCCCTGGCTCAAGCTGATCGGTGAACTTCGAGATCAGCAACAGCGATCGGTTGTCCCCAAGGAGGTTCTACTGGCGGAAAACTGTGCCTTTGCCGGAAAGTTTAAGGAGGCAGCTCGCCTATTTCTTAAATGCGGCCAGTCATCAAGATCACTTGAAATGTATACAGACCTACGGATGTTCGACCTGGCTCAGGAATATATAAAGGACGGCACTGCACAGGAAAAGAAAGAACTAGTGCGCAAGAGAGCGGAATGGGCATATTCGGTTAAGGAGCCACGAGCTGCTGCTGAACTTTTGCTCTCGGCTGGAGAAAACCAGAAGGCTATTGACATTGTTGCAGAGCAGGGATGGGCCGATGTGTAAGTTAATCCTAGATACCAAATAAGACATTGAGCTGAGAATTTAGAGTTGCGTTAATTTCAGTTTATTTGACATCGGACGTCGACTGAGTCTTTCAGAACGCGATGCCTTAGAGTCAGTGGCTCAAAATCTAAAGACCCTTAAAGCTCTACCCCTAGCTGCAGAGATATTCAAGAAGCTCGGGGACGAAGCCCAAGTAGTGCAGTTGCATATCGAGGTACGGGATTGGCCCGAGGCTTTTCGCCTGGCGGAATCCTTGCCAGAACTGTTACCAACAGTGCACTACCAGCATGGCCAATGGCTGGCCGAAACGGATCAGTTTATAGAGGCACATCAGGGTAAGAGTTCAAGAGTTTATTGTTGTTAAAATTATATAAATTTTATTCGTTTTTATTATTATTATTCGTTTTAGCTTATTTAAAAGCAGGACGCACCAAGGAAGCCAATCGTTTACTAAAGCAACTGAGCAATACTGCCATCTTGGAGGAACGGTATTTGGATGCCAGCTACTTCTATTGGCTGCTGGCAAAGCAATATTTAGATGTTTATCATGCCAAGGAGTAAGTTACATACTATTTTAAGTTCTAACCTTTTAAATAATTTGCATGTGTTCCAGAGAACAAAATCCCATTGATCACCACCTGACAGAGTACAAAAATCATTTACGTATTGCAAAGGTCTATTATGCCTACAGCGTAATATATTATTATATGAAAGAACCTTTTACCACCCATTCTCCAGTGAGTCTTTTTAACGTGAGCCGCTTTATACTAAACGAAGTTGAGCAAAAGGGTGTCCCCAAAGGTGTAAGCATGTTGTAAGTTAAGATTGAACAAAAAAACATATTTTTGATTGATATATAAAGTATTCTTTCTATTAGTTCGGTTCTTTTTACCCTGGCCAAGCAAGCAAAGTTTTTGCAGGCCAATAAGTTGTGCCTTCTTATTAACAAGAGATTGCAGTCTTTAAAGCCACCAGCTGGAGTCCAAGAGCAGATTGATGTAAGTAGCTCAAAATATTTTTTAGCTTCAAATAAACTTTTAAGAACCCCTTTTGCAGCTCAATTTTCTAAATAGCAAAGCGTGCAAGAGTGGCTTCAACGATCCCGAGGAGCTTTTGCCACTTTGCTACAAGTGTTCCAATTATAGTCAACATTTGAATAACAATTGTTGTCCCACCTGCCGGCAGGATTACATTTTCTCATTCGTTTCCTTTGGTAAGAAACTGAATCCTGTATTTAAAACTATTTTGATTAAATTTCTCTTTTAGAAATTTTACCCTTAGTACAATTTTATCCCGAAGTGGATATATCAGATGCCGAAGCAGAGCGTTTGTTGTTGGCTCCTGCAAAACATGCAGAGGACACTGATCCATTTAATGAGGAGGTAGCTAGTGCCTTGCCATTGAGCTTGGATCGAAATGGCCTGCGTGCCATAGATCCAAATCATGTTCTGATACTAAAAAGAAGGGGAAAAAATGTCCGGAATGTCTACTATCGCAATATATTGCCCGATCTACAGGTTACCTATTGCCCGCAATGTCTGCTGGTGAGTTTAAACAGAATCCAATATTTGAATTTTAATTTACATGTAATCTTTATCAGCTATTCTACGCCGAAGACTTTGAGCTGCAGGTTCTACAGAAAGGTTACTGTCCTTTTTGTCACACATCCTCGGAGAAGTTGTTGGAAGACTTTTGAAATAGCCCTATATAGTGTGTAATACAATATAATTTCCGTCCAAAACTGTACAAATAGGAACTATACAAAAATAAGAAAGGTTTTATGCCCAGGTTTCCTCCTGATATCGTCGTTGTTTGATCATCATATCCACATATTCAGCATCACCATCAAGGATTTCGATAAAGGCTTCTCTAACAGACTTTGGCATATTGTTTGAGTTTCCAGCCACGTAGATAAATGCATTTTGGTCTCTTATGAGCTTTGCCAGATGACCGCCATTCTTGGTGATTAAATGCTGGACGTATACCTTGTTCTCTTGATCCCTGGAGAAGGCTAAGTGTGCTTCCACCTGCTTGTTATCGGTCCACATGGAAAAGTCTTTTTCAAAATGGAAATCAGCAGTCTTATTTCGGCAACCAAAGAAAACAACTAGGGGGCCAATAGTGGAACCTTTAGATTGAGCATGCAATCGATTTTGGATAATGCTACGGAAAGGTGCAATGCCAGTGCCAGGTCCAATCATAATAAGTGGTATACTCAAATCGTTTGGCCAGACCATGGTTCCTTTTTTTACCACACCGCGTAGCTCTGTTCCTAATTTACGATTTTTCAACCAATTGGAGCATAATCCTAGCCGCGGTGTATGCATAATGGTTTTGTACTCGACTACAGCCACTAGTAAATCCAAACATAAGGAGGATACATCAGAGGCAATAGAAAAACTACGGGGTTGGATCAGCGGCATCATCTCAAAGAGCTGTTGCAGAGTTAAACTGGAGGTGGCATGCCGAAAGTCCTCCAGAACTTCTAGTAGATTTCGTCGTGGTCTGTTTACGTAGGCCACTAGGTCATCGATACCCTCAGCGGAACAGAACTCCAAAAGTTTATCTTTTTCCATTTCATCTATGCAATTCTGTCCTAGCACCTCGAGAAATCGTTGACGCGGTTTCGCACTCAAATCCCAGACGTATTTAGCAGCCTGCTGGAGGCTTAAAGGAATGGAGTAGGCTTTTGGGAGGGGCATGTCCAAATGGGCACTAGCTACGTCAACTACAGTGCTCTCGTCGAAGTTCAGCTTGTGTTCACGGATTAGATCGAAAAATATTTTAATAGCTTCATCACTGTTTTGTGGCTGAACATCAAGCACATCGCCAGGTTCCCAATTGAGATTTTCAGTTTGGCATTGCAATTGTAAGAATCGCACATCCTGAAAGTGGTCCACCGCTGTGGTCCTAATGTTATCCTGGATTTTGAAAGTGTGAGCAGTTTGCTTTTGGCTCCAAATTAGGGTTTCCGATACTTTAATAGCGGAATCCTTTGGTAGTTCCTTTACTAGCCATTTTCTTATAATTTGATTACTGTTTTTAAGTTTACTTTCATCCAATCCAGAGGTGGCCTTTAATGTAGTCCATAGATCCTTTGTCCAGCCGAGAGAAACACCCAAATGCCCATAATCATGTTGATCATCACACAGACCTACTGGACACACTGATGTTGCACCCAGATTCTGGAGCCGCTTGCTCAGTTTCTTAGCGGCATAGTTAAACTTTGGGTAGCTGGAGTCCCCAAGTCCAAGGCATGCGAACTGCATTTCTTGCAAGGATTGCGCGGGTAAGCTCCGCTTCAGTAGAAATCGCCAGGCTTGCTTCATGTTGTCCGGCTCCACTCCATCGCCGGTGGTAGCCACCACAAAGACCACGAGGCGCTCTTCGATAAGCTTGGTCATTTCATACTCCTCGAAGGGCAGTACGGGGCCTTGGAAGCCGAGTTGTTGTGACTCCCGCCAGATTTGCTCAGCCACATCCTGGGCAGTGCCGGTTTGACTGCCATAAAGCACAAGTAACCGCATATTCTAGAAATTTTGAATACAAATTTGAATTACTGATGAATCTGTTGAATAAATATGACCGCATTTGCAGTGACGCAATAAGCCTTTTAAACAAGAAGAAGACAGTCATTAACATCTAAATATAATTTAAAATATTAACAATAAAATATTTTACATATGTTTACACATAGAAAGGATTTGAAGTATATGGTTAAAATAAAATCTTTTCATTACACAAAAAGAGAATTCTAGGAAAAGTTAAAAACCTTTAGTTCTGCATCTTAGTGGAAAAGCGTTCTTTTACATGAGGTCAAAAAATTATTTAGAATTCGGTCACACTAGATATACAACTAAATTGTTTTGCAAAACACTATTGAAAGTAAATAAAAGTAAGTTTGATTTTACAAGTAATGCCCCCTAAACAAAACATTGATGTGCAGCTGAGTAAGAAGCTGTCTTGGTTGCTGCGGCATGGTGCAAAATCTGAGGGGATTCCGATCCAGTCAGATGGTTTCGTTAGTGTTTCTGACCTGCAGGAACACCCGCGATACACATCCTTCACTCTGGAAAAACTGAAGCAGATTGCATCTGCAGATACTAAGCAAAGATATTCTCTTCGATGGAATCCAGAACGCGGTATCTACGAAATTCGCGCCAATCAAGGACATTCGTTGCCCGTCGTAGAGAGTGAAGCTAGCGGCCTAGAGAAGATTACCCATATGGCAGAGGTGCCCATGGCTGTACATGGAACCTACTACAGGCATTGGGAAGCGATAAGGATTACAGGACTGAGTAGGATGACGCGCAATCATGTGCACTTTGCCACCAGCGATAAAACCAACTGCATCTTGAGTGGATTTCGAAGCGATTGTCAGATATTGATATATCTAAATGTAGAAAAGGTGCTGGCTGATGGAATACCCATCTACCGCTCTAACAATAATGTACTGCTTTGCCCAGGAATCAATGGTCTTATACCTAAAACCTATTTCCTGAGGGTGGTAGATAGGAAAACCGAGCAGCCCTTAACTCACTGATCGTTGTTACTAAATAAACTTGATCGACAAGCAATAATTTAAACGTGTTCTTGCAGAAATGCCTACCCCTGCCTCGGAATTAACCCCTCCGCCTGGGGATGGTGCCGATAACTTGGTGTTGTGCATGGTCTGCGCCGCCCCCTTCAAAAGTATGCAGGATTGCCTTGCCCACGAGCTGCTGAAGCATTCCAGCAAGCCTCAGAAGCAACTGCGACAGCGACTGAACGCCATCACCAAGCTTTTCACTAGCGCACAAACTCAGTCCGAGCGCAACGAGCTGCGGGAGGCTCTCGAAAAGTCGGAGCCCGGTGGCCACTTGCGCACGGTATTGAATTTCTTTGCTAGCGATCTTCGAAAGATGGAGACGTGCTTCGGACATGTCCGTAGCTGCATTGAAAGGGAGATGCGGGGAAGGGTTCGTGTGTTTCCCTTCGGCTCACTGGTCACTGGCTTGGCATTGAAAGGTAAGTAGATATCAATAAGTAAATGGCACCTAACCCCATCCTTTACCTTTAGAGAGCGACATAGATTTGTATCTACAGCCCTGCGGTGAGCAACCACCTATGTTTCACAAGCAACTGTACAATAAGGTGTCAAACTTTTTACGGCGCTCCAAATGCTTCGAGGATATTTTCACCATTCGACATGCACGTGTGCCCATCATACGTTGTAAACATCAGCTTACCGGACTAAACATAGATATCAACATGTCCAATCCAAACAGCACATATAACTCCCGTTTTGTTGGTGAACTAATGTTTCGCGATGAGCGAATTCGAGAGCTCAGTCTTTTCTTGAAGGTCTGGGCGAAGAAGCTAAAATTGATTGGCCATGGCTGCATGACAAGCTATTGTCTTATCACCATGATCATTGTTAATTTACAAGTTAATAGACTGATCCCTTCTGTGAAGCAGCTTCAGTCGCATTGTCCACCTGTTAATATGTCGGGCGTTAACTATGCATACAGTTTGGACCTGACCCCACCGATTCCAGCACGGATCACTACGTTGGAGCTAATTAAAAACTTCTTCATATATTACAGTACAGTCAACTTTGAGAAAAGTGTGTTAAGTCCGTTTTTGGGCTGCTGTCTAGATAAGGAAACAACTCTTGGCTCGCCGGGTGGATTTCCTGAGTACGAAGAGCAGATGCAGCTCGTAAACGATGAAGTAGGCGATACAACAGAAGCTTTTCAGCTGGAACGGCCAATGTGCGTACAAGATCCCTTCGAGTTACAGCACAATGTGGCCAAGTCAATGTCTCCATCGAATCTATGTTATCTCAGACAATGTCTTATTCTGGCAGCTCAAGCTTGTACCGATCAGGAACAAACGTCGCAACCAGATAAACTATACGACTACTTACTATTTGGCTTGGCGGATAGGTTAGTAGCTGACCGATTGGTTGCAGATAAAAAAGCAGATAAAGCAACTCCGTGTAAGCAGAAAAAAATGGAAACAGTCCAGGCTCAACAGGTAGTCGGTGAGACAAAAGAAACAAAAATCGAATTAGTCGGGGTTTATAATGCCCCTCCCATCGTGAGGTCACACGTGATCACTCCAACAACAAACGATCTCAAATGGTTGCGCTCCAGTGTGCTAAGCCGAAATAAAACAGAGGAGAACCGCCCAATATACTACTACTGGCTCTCCTGTTATGTAGACACAATCAAGGATGTGCTTACGCAGCTCTACTCATTGAATATTGAACTTAAAGAATCTGAGGAACCGGGATACTACAAGTGGCTCATCAGCACTACTTACGACACTTGGACAGGACGCTCTTTCCAGCGGGGAGCGGGACAATCATTCTTTGCCCACCAGTTGCAGCAGACAATAGAGTTCGCGAAGACCAGAGTGGGAAATGCACAATATGCGGTAAATTTGCGCGGTTATTTCTCGTTGCTGGCCAGTGAGGATCACAAAGAGCTACGTCTGGATGTGCAGCCATTACCTGGAGATCTTCTCGGACTGCAGCGCAATAGTCCGCTAACAAAACTTTTTAAGGCGTTTAAGAATCTTCTGGGCAACTACAGTTTCAAGGAGAAGGCCAGTACCTGGGAGTTTTGCGCCAAATCTGAAGAAAACTGACAACTTACTATGTGTAATTCTTTTCTTGTAAATACTTTTAGATTTCAATGCCAAATTGAATAGACGGTTAATTTTCTGGACATTTTGTTTAACATAATTGTAATTTCAGTTTACAATATCACTATAAGTTGAACAAATATATTAAATTATATGTGTAACAATTAGCTGTAGTATATATAAAGAGATGTCTAAACTAATTCTTGGCAAAAGTCTCTTGGAGCAGGGAGAGAAAATTATTTACAAGGCTAAAACTAAGCTTATGATAGCAATATACAAGGGTGTATCTAAAACTTTTGATTTAAAAATAGAATATAATAGAAATACCCAAAACATTAGAAAATATATTTTGAATATACTTCCTGGTTGGATATTAAATAATTTGGTTAACATCTAAAAAGAATTTTCGTTTTAGATGATATCAAATTAATATTTTTAAACCTCTAGAAATTTTAGGTGGACACCACATACTTTTAGGCAAAGAGAAGAAGAGATTCCTAATATATAATATTAATTTAATTGTACTTTCAGATTCTAATCTGAGTAACGGCACTTGGGCAATGGCGTTAGGTCTAATCCTACTACTTCTATCCTTTCTTTTTACGACAATAACAATACTTTTTGGCTGCGAAATCACTCATACAATCTGCTTCTCCGCTATAGACGTTCAGTCGGCTTACCGATCCCGTCACCTTTACCGAGTCATCCGTGTGGTTGTGCCGCACGGTGGCCTCGTATTGTCCCTTATTAGGCGACGTGACGAATATCAGTCGATAGGTGTGCACCTCCTCCGGATCTAAAGCATTTTGATGCGCTCGAAACGCGGACTTGATGCTGTGTAGAGAGAGGGGAGCACAAAGTTTGGCAAAGGTTCCGTTCCGAAACTCAGCCACATAGTTGTTAAGGTAGCCCACCACACGCTTACCGAGCATTCGAGATTCCTTAGAATTGCTCGCGATGGTGTCGTATTCCCAGCAAGTACACCAGTGGTCCGCAATGCCCACATCAGAGCAACTTCGTTGCGGAGAAACGGGACGCAGCAAGCTCTGGCACTGTGGGCAATCAGGTGCCGGACCCAAGGACTCCATATCGGCACGGCCGGTCGTGGCGAGTATATGCTTCATAGTTAGATGTAGATCGTAGGGCGTAGTCAATCGATTCTTATTCAATTTAAGACTACGCACAAACTCTGGATGCTTGCGACGTAGGTGATGAGGTAACCAGATGAAGATGGCCGGCAGGCGTTCTTCCAAGTGACCAGACCACGTGGCCCTTGTAGGTCCAAACCGCATGCCATGATCACTGAAGAACACCACTACAGTGTTTTCCATAGTGCCCTGTCGCACCAATTTCCGCAGATAATCCGCAATGTAGTCATCCATACTACTCGTCTGGGAAATATCACTATGGCTGTGCGTGTTTGTCCAAAAGAAACCAAAGTAGGTATCGTTAAGGAATCTTCTTGTGAACTCCAATCCATAGTCGTATACGTGCTCTGCTGCCGTTTCGTAGCCAAGGCAGTGCACCAAACCATTTACCGTTGTGTGATCCAGTTGCGATTCGGCGGCGGATAGATATGGCCTCAAGTAGTAATCCGCCGGCGGATCCTTGAAACCCTTCTTCAGGTAGTTAAATGTGTTGATCTTCACAGCATCCTCGGCGTAGGCGGTCACATAGCCCCTCTGTTGGTAAAGCTTCCAGATGTAGTTGCACTTATCCAGGCCGCCAACAACGAAGGGAGAGCAGGCATGCATGGCATTTGGCAGATTGTAGCCGGTGGCCACTGCCATGATGTTTGGGAATGTGTTGTCGTCCACCTGAGGATAAGATAGAAAAATTTAGGATGTGTAACAGTCAGTGGCTTATCTCACCTTATTGTATCCCGCCAGCTCGAACCATTCATTGTCATAGAGATACTGCGCCGTTTTGGGCATGGCCCTGATGAGATTCACACGAGAGATGCTATCAATGCCAAGCATCAAGACGCTTGGGGGTCTTTGATTGCCCATATCGATTACATTTTCCTTTCTATCGCCCGCAGTTGCCTGCTGAAGTCTCTGCTGCACTTCCTCCTTGACGGGTATTGTGGCATGGCCATTGATATAAAATTGCCGACCATTGGAATCGCACTTGACGATAATGCCTTCAGCGGAATTGGGCAGTTCGGTGCTTCCCTTGAAGGTTTGACACTTGGTATACTTGACCTTCATCTCGTCGACGCGCTGAACCTCCATGTAGCAACAATGCAGATGATTGCTCACCGGGTATCGACTGAAAGCAGCACCATCGATGCTGAGAATGTACTTTTGGGACTTCTCCTGGAACTTGACACGTGTCAAGGGCGGCAGCTTCTGGCAGGCCTTGTATTTTACGCGCTTAAAATGACGCATCACTTCGTTCTTGTAGGGATCAACCTCCATGATCCGGCAGGAGTTACTATACACAAGGAAACCTTTCGGCACAATTTGAATAGTCTCATTAAGTGTGTCAGGATCGACTGTGCAAACACAAACATATAAGGTGGGAAAACACAGAAGGGAAAGAAAATCATATTGGCGGGCATGCAAAACAAGCTAAATACACATTAGGGATCTATCTCTAGATAGACTTACCATCCATCACCGTGGAGTGATGTTGAACCGTCACGTAGTTATCCGAATGAAGGACATCCAAGTCTAGAACATTGGCCCATTCAGGCCTTCCGATCAGGAAATAGCAAAACACAAAGGACACCAGCAGTCCCAGCACCGACTTCCGGCTAACCAGAAAAGAACGGTGCTGGATGACATGCAGTACTCCTACCCTGCGGGTCATATGTATTTCCAGCTTCTCCGGCTCTGAGGTCTCGGATCTCTCCAGCAACAGGCGTTTTTCTGCCATGTCATTTAAGCTCTCGGCTATGCATGTTCGTAGATTAAATGTATTCTTAGTTAATTTAAGCCAATCCAATTAACTTTAAAAGGCAACTGAAAATTTATTTTAAAAAAATGAAAATGAACATAACTTTTAAAAGGTCATAAAACTATTTTAAATAATAGTATACAACTGTTGCTTTTAAAACGTAAGTAAAAAGTTAAGAAACTGAAGGGACTTAAAATTAAATTTTCTAGTATAATTTTAGCCACATATGTAAATAGTTAAACTAATTGCTAATGCAGCTGAACGAATTGTAATTAAAGTAAAACGTATAATAATTATAAGTCTTAAAAGCTCTCATTACATAGAAAAAACTAAACGATTTGCATAGTTTCCAGTAATTAAAATTATCTTTCGTCTTGCTTTGACGGAGGTAGACGACTTACCTTTGGAATGCTTATTGCAGTGTTTTTATTTTGTTTTTTGATGTATTTTAGCTGGTTCCGCAACTGAAATTGAAGGCGTACCGTTGATAAGCAAAAACATAAAACGTGTTTTTTTACTTGAAAACTAATTTTTTGTTTATTACAAAGGTCAGTTGTCAGTGCCGATTTTTTCTTGGTACACAATGAATAAATTATGTATTTTGCTTGCAAAGCTTGCGAAACCGAATCTGATAAGCCTTATGAGATTATAATTGCCAATGTGCGCACCATCAAATTTCAGATTAAATTCATTATTTGTATATTATGTCCCAGGGGTTTTGCAGAGATTGTTGTGCTTTCCATAGCTTTTGGATAATACTTTAAAATCGTTTAGGTTCATTAAAAATTTAGTTTATTTTTAGATTTCTAGAATGTGTACTGAAGGTTTTAAAGCTTTACATAACAAATTTGGTTTTCACTGAATTGCTCTTGGTTTTTTTTTTTTTTGGAAATTTTATGCAGGTCTTGCTTTCGGTTTGTTTTTGTTTTGTGAACGATTTTTGCATTTTTGCTTTATGTTTTACACGTGGTTTACCGGGTAAACACAATCGTTTGTTTATTGCAACAGCAAAAGTTTTCGTATCGAAAACTATTTCTTTATTGGCCCTATTTTTGTCTCACTGCCAATAGTGTTCTTTTGGGAATATAAATAAAATTTTGTTGGCTAACCTTGGCTGTGTCTAATGAAGGGGTCGGCAAGGGGCGTTCTGCGAATTTAATTAATGGAAATGCAACGTCTGCTGAAACACATCGTTCTGCTAAGCTTTTTTTCAGCGGTCCGAACACTATGACGGCAGAATCGCGAATGAGACGGAACCCAAGCACCGAATTACTAATGGCAAAAGGGTTAGGGGGAGGTCTGGCGGGGTTTGCTCTGTGAATCTGAATGGGGAAACTGAGCTGCTGATGCTGATGCCTTATGATGGGCCGGAGCTTCGCCGGCAATATTTCATCGATCACGACTCTATTCGTCAGCCATTAGTTTTCACTTTTTGCAGTTTCGTGTAACAAACATTGATTATATTTTTTTGTGTTGTGTTAATCCATGACACGTTTTTATAGATGTCTAAATATAATTGTATGATTTTCACACCCAGTACGGAGAGAGCAAAGGTAGATAAATATAAATATTTTACTATCGAAAGGTTAAATCTTTCAAGAAATAATTATGTATTTCTATTCTCTTTATATATTAAAGTGACTATATTCGTAGTTGACTTTTCAGAAAGCACAAATGATTAACTAATTTAAAATACAATTTAATATTATTAAACAAGAAAACTAAAAATGTTAAATGCTTGTAGTGTGACTTCTAAGATTTGCGGAATGGGATAAAGACCAGCCTTGCCCCAACTTCAAGTCGAGATTATAGCAAAGTCTGATTATTTTATAAATAAACAGGAAGCGTGATAAAGAAGTTGATATGGTGAATAGCTTTAATACAAATATTTAAGCATCAGAAAGGTTCATCAGTATTTCCGAAATGTGTAGGCAAGATATCAAATTTCTTTTATGATCCCATTTACAACATCCATGTCAGAGGCGTCGTTGTGTTTAACAGTCTTTATCTAATTGAATTTGCCGTTCAGCTTGAATGGTTTAACTATCTTCGGATTAATCAGCGAGGGAACGACAGAAAGTGACAACGCTTTGGCGTGGAGGTTTCATGGATACTCGTAGTCATGCATCTAGATAATGCATTGAATTTTAATGACACATGTACTTGGAGGAGCCATTTGAAAATGCAATTCTTACTATATAAAAGATATTATAATGGAAAAATATAGTTGGGTGATGGGGTGACGCACGTCTAGGGGTCCCGTTGCAGGAGCTTATGTGAATGTATGAATGCGTCGAGGACACTTTGTGGGGGCAAAAATAACATATACTATATTCCCAAGGGGTTGGGTGGTGCACTATGTCAAGTTCCATTGAAGCGAACTGCATCGTCAGCGTAAAAAATGCAATCGTTTTATTTGAGCACATACACTGCCTAACTGATACAGATACAAAACCGAGATACACAGATACAAAAACGGACGAACACGGATACACACACACTTGCGCTTGAAAATTGCCAACTTTTCCGAATAGCCTGGAAATTTGTCAACACCCTGCGTATGAGCCAGGATTCATCCAGTATATTTGGGCCACTCTCATATTCCCACACTCACTTGGTCTCATCGCCATATGTATATATTGCCTATTGATTGCAGCAAATATACAAATATTGGTAGTGTGATTTGCAACGATTTCCTTTTGGAAAAAAGTACGATGCGCGACTATGACCCAAGTCCTTGCTGGCGGAACGTACAGTGCGAGACGACTGAGCGGATGTTCGACTGCCAGCGAGCGGAGACCACCGACGAATGACGACGAGCCGCTGCCGATGTGAGATTTTTTACACCCTCGCTGGGGGGCAACAACAAGCGGCGGCCATTACCAACAACAACGCGCAACATCAGCAAAAAAAAGCTAAAACACTGTGAAAAAGTACTATACTTTAAAGATCATAATTAATATAATAAATAATAGTAATAGGAAAGAAACTTTGAGTATTATTCAAAAAAAACATATATAAGCATATATATAAATCTTCTACATTTATGGCAATTCAGAAAGCAATCCATTTTTAAACTATGTACAAGTTTATTAGGATGAACTATGCCTTTATTTGTTGTCTAATTAAATATATGTTAAAGCTACCATATATTTATCTATGCTGGATTCCGCGAAAGACAAGTGGTTTTTGCTTGATTGGAAAGGGTACCCCCCATTAACTTCAGTTAGTTCTCAAGATAAGAAAAATAATCTGGCATTATTTCTTCGAATCGTAAGATTCTCAAGAACTTGTACCAAATATTGATATAAAATAATTTTATATAAAGATTAATTTTCCAAGTACTTCGTTGATGACAGGAAATGGCACAATGTACGAAAAATTAAATTTTATTTGATTTAGTAATGAACTTAAACATATATTAAAACAAATCAAAGTTTGTTAATAAATTATAAAGATTTTCGCTGGCACGCCCGATAGTAATTTTAAAGTGAGTGATACAGACAGAATATCGATCTAATTTCGAGTGATGTCATGCCTGAAAAAAGTTTGTTCGCCCCTCAAAGTTAGTTTTATTTATTATTTTATGATTTAATGGTTTTAAATACGGCGAATTTCTCTAAGTGCATCGACAGCAGTTACACGCGATGCGTTGCACATTCGCCAGTGACGCCTGAAAGTATGCAATGTTTATTTGCCAATTGTCCGCTGCACAGTTTGACACTCACTGAGTCTGCGCAGTATAATGTTACTTTTGGCACGTGCTGCTTCGGTATTTTGCACGCTCTCCCTTTTATTTTTCTTTTAAAAGACCCTCCCGTTTGGCCGCCACACACTTGTTGGTTCTTAGTGAATAATTAAAGGGCGGTGAGTGGGTGGCATTTTTGTCAAGTGTCTCTGTTTGGCCGCAGGCAAGGTCACCAAACTTTAAGCGGCAGACAAAACACAAAACCAGCAAAGTAAAGAAGGTCGAAGTAATGTGCATACATAGATTATATAAGATAAATAGGGGACATAGTTTGTTTTGTTTATAAAAAATGCAAACAGAACAAAAGTGCTTTTTACGCTTTTTGGAAATATTATAAAAGCACTTCAAACTTTACTTTTAACAAACCACAAATTATAATTCCAATCTTAAAAATAATCTAAACAAAGGCGTTTAGTCTATTTACGAATGTTATATCTTATCTTTAACATTTACAATCGTTTCGGTTAAGAAATGTTTATTGTAGAAGCAGATTTGTTGGTTTGTTTCTGGACGATTTACAGGTATCATAAAAATAAATCTGCATTGTTTAAAAATTATTGAATGAAAGTGGCACTTTGCACCTGCTTTGATATTGTATACACATTGTAAATATTTGAATTTAATCAGTTTTGATTATAGAGGGTTTTCAATGGAGATATAGCTGACAAGAGAAATCGTAAATTTAAGAAAAACAATAATAATACGAACTACGCTTAAAGTTATTGTTATACCAATTTTCATACCTAACGCTGATTGATGATGTAATAATCTTATAATTGGGTCATCTAGAAAGATATTTACAAATCAATATTTTCTGATTAAATTACCTTTGCTATCATCTGCGCTTCCATTGAACACTTCACAGAGCGTCATTCAACAAATCTTTGAATAAGTCAATGGCCTATCACCCTTGACCTATATCCAAGTATAACCAATATACCATTTAGTTTATCGGCAGATATGATCTGGTTATTATAATCTCCCTTATGCTTACAGTGAAATAAAAATTTAAATTCAAATTTGCTCTTCAAATGTATTTATTTAATCGATTGTCGTCGTTTATTAGTAAGAAATTCCAGTGTGGTCGCGGATCCAGTCCAAGTGGTAGGTAACACGCTGGAATCCAGCGGGATGACCAGCCTGGCAACCAGCACCGGACACCCAGTTGGTGACTCCCACAAGCTTGGCGCCATCGTGTGTGACTAGAGGGCCACCGGAGTCGCCACCGCAGGTTCCCTTGCCATCGACTACGCGGACGCAGATGATGTTGTCGCCGACAGTGCTGGTTCCGTAGTAGCTGGAGCACTCAGAGTTGTGGATGATCTGGAGATCAGCGCACTGCATCCAATCGGGCAAGGGGCTGCCATCGTAGGTGCCACCCCATCCACAGGCCACAGCCCACCATTCGTTGTAGTCGTTGTAGCGATCATTGTAGCTGGGCAGCTCAACCTTGTTAACCATGTGCCAGAAGTCCACATGGGGAATGCGGATCAGGGCGATGTCAGCGGATCCGTGGGTGATGAAGTTGCCGCTTCCAACCCAGTGGGTGAACTGGGCATTGGTGCGCCAGGTGGCTCCGAAGTAGACAGTCACGGCATCACCACCGATGCAATGCTCAGCGGTAAGTACCCATTCGCTGCCAATGATAGATCCACCGCACCACCAGCCACCGCTGAAGCCCAATCCCACAGTGTAGGGGGCCTTGCCTTCCTCTGCTGGATAGCCGTTAGTGATACGACCCTCGATCTTGGCCACCTTGGGCAGATCCTTGGGGTGGATGACGCTTTCGTAGGCCGAAGCCGAGGCGACAGCCAATGCCAGAATAGTTAGAAACACCTTCATGTTGCAAAGACAACTTGTTCTGGAGGAGTTTCAGCGCTGCTTTTATACCTGCAGCGATGGCAAACTGTTGCTTCTGATAATTGATTGAGATTACTAATAAAGAGGTGTCCTAAATCAATGCTCAATTATCAATGTTCAAGTAATACGCATATCCGTCAGATTTTCCAAGTGTCATGGTAATAATAATTGATAAGAATTATTATTAAAGTTAAGCCTAGAAGCAGGCAATATTTTTTGTGTTGCTGCAATTTTAAGACTTTGGGTTTTAGCTTTTTCACGATCTCTCTATATAAACCAAAACTATCGAAAACTAAAATGTATTACAACTTAAAATAAAAACAAACTGATTTATTTTTTCAATAGTTTTCTAAAAATATATTTTTTATTGTTCTTTTTTTTTTTTTTAGCTTTACTGTGATGCGTTTTGACTTTGAGAAAAGTGTGTGAGTGGCTCTCACACGCACGTACATATAATAAACTATATAGGGGATACGATCGGATAGTTTTATGTCGGATAACCCTACGTTCTTTATAGGCATTGCCGTTCGTTGCTGCAGCGATTCGGGCAGTAGGCATCCGCCTCCCGCCGTCCACCGCCGAGCAGACCGCCGGCCTCGATAAGACGCATGAAAAGATTAGGAAGCCGCCCTTCAGACTGCAATCACAACCCATTTCATCCTCGCCATGAGGACACTGCCGTCGACCATCACACAAGGCCGCTCGGGAGATGCAGCGACCGCTTCGCTGGCAACGGAAGGATTCAGTCGGACAGCTCTGGTTCAGGCGGGCGTTGTGGGTGCATTCCTCGTCGGAGGCGTCATTACGGCACGGCCGTCACACACGAAGAACCACGAGATGCATACGCCACTCGAGCGGCACTGGAATGGAATTACCAGTTATAAAGTGAAAAAATATATATAAATATTGTAGGACTAACCTGGAAGGTTCCGGGACTGCGTCCGGTTTTCTCGGCGCTGCACTGCGTTTCCTGTTCGCCGGCGGCATAATCACAGACTCCTCGTCTATTGCACACGGTGTGAGGATCAGCCAGCTGGCACTGACGATCGTTGCTACAGGTCAATCCCAGAGAAGCCAATAAATGCAAACAGAACAAAAGTGTTTTTTCCGCTCTTCGAAAATATAATTAAAGCACTTCAAACTTTATCAACAAACCACAAATTATAATCCCACTCTTAGAAATAATCTAAATAAAGGCGTTTAGTCTATTTACTAATGTTATATCTTATCTTTAACATTTACAATCGATTCGGCTTAGAAATATTTATTGTAGAAGAAGATTTGTGGGTTTCTGCATAATTTAAAAATTATTGAATGAAAGTGGAACTTTGCACCTGCTTTGATATTGTATACTCGTACACATTGTAAATATTTGAATTTAATCAGCTTTTGATTGTAGAGGGTTTTCAATAAATTAATAATTAATAAATTAAATTTAAGAAAAATAATAATACGAAGTACGCTTAAAGTTATTGTTATACCAATTTTGATACCTAACGCTTATTGATGAGTTGATTGATTATATAGAAATGTAATAAACTTATAATTGGGTCATCTTGAAAGGTATTTACAAATCAATATTTTCTGATTAAATTACCTTTGCTATCATCTGCGCTTCCATTGAACACATCACAGAGCGTCATTCAACAAATCTTTGACTAAGTCAATGGCCTATCACCCTTGACCTATATCCAAGTATAACCAATATACCATTTAGTTTATCGGCAGATATGATCTGGTTATTATAATCTCCCTTATGCTTACAGTGAAATAAAAATTTAAATTCAAATTTGCTCTTCAAATGTATTTATTTAATCGATTGTCGTCGTTTATTAGTAAGAAATTCCAGTGTGGTCGCGGATCCAGTCCAAGTGGTAGGTAACACGCTGGAATCCAGCGGGTTCACCAGCCTGGCAACCAGCACCGGACACCCAGTTGGTGACTCCCACAAGCTTGGCGCCATCGTGTGTGACTAGAGGGCCACCGGAGTCGCCATTGCAGGTTCCCTTGCCATCGACTACGCGGACGCAGATGATGTTGTCGCCGACAACGCCGGTTCCGTAGTATCTGGAGCACTCAGAGTTGTGGATGATCTGGAGATCCGCGCACTGCATCCAATCGGGCTGGGAGCTGCCATCGTAGGTGCGACCCCATCCACAGGCCACAGCCCACCATTCGTTGTAGTCGTTGTAGCGATCGTTGTAGCTGGGCAGCTCAACCTTGTTAACCATGTGCCAGAAGTCCACATGGGGAATGCGGATCAGGGCGATGTCAGCGGAAGCGTGGGAGATGAAGTTGCCGCTTCCAACCCAGTGGGTGAACTGGGCATTGGTGCGCCAGGTGGCTCCGAAGTAGACAGTCACGGCATCACCACCGATGCAATGCTCAGCGGTAAGTACCCATTCGCTGCCAATGATAGATCCACCGCACCACCAGCCAGCGCTGAAGCCCAATCCCACAGTGTAGGGGGCCTTGCCTTCCTCTGCCGGATAGCCGTTAGTGATACGACCCTCGATCTTGGCCACCTTGGGCAGATCCTTGGGGTGGATGACACTTTCGTAGGCCGAAGCCGAGGCGACAGCCAAAGCCAGAATAGTTAGGAACACCTTCATGTTGCAAAGACAACTTGTTCTGGAGGAGTTTCAGCGCTGCTTTTATACCTGCAGCGATGGCAAACTGTTGCTTCTGATAATTGATTGAGATTACTAATAAAGAGGTGTCCTAAATCAATGCTCAATTATCGCGAATGCTCAAGTAATACGCAAATCCGTCGGATTCAATGTAATAATAATTGATAAGCATTATTATTAAGGTCGACCCTAGAAGCAGGTAATACCTTTTGTGTTTCTGCAATTTTAAGACTTTGGGTTTTAGCTTTTTCATTATCTCTCTATATAAACCAAAACTATCGAAAACTAAAATGTATTACAACTTAAAATAAAAAGAAACTGATTTATTTTTTCAATAGTTTTCTAAAAATATATTTTTTATTGTCGTTTCTTTTTTTTTAGCTTTACTGTGATGCGTTTTGACTTTGAGAAAAGTGTGTGAGTGGCTCTCACACGTACGTACATATAATAAACTATATAGGGGATACGATCGGATAGTTTTATGTCGGATAACCCTACGTTCTTTATAGGCATTGTCGTTTATCATGTACATCGAACACGTTTACTCTTATTTACAAAATATTTATCGTTAAAAATGCATCATGTCATGGTTTTCATGGTTATCTTTTCCGTTACTGGTTTGCCTGGCCAATAATTTAAATAAATTAGAAAATTGCATAAAACTAAGCTAAATGAAGAATCCTTTTCGAGTGTTTTTAGTGTCTTTTGTTTGTGGGTGAAGTTTTTTTGGGTATATAAATAAATAGTTTTGATGGTTTAGATGAATAGAATAAATAGTCGAAATGGGGGCGAAGTGTGGGTGGTGGTGTAGTGTTTTTTGTGGTGTGCGGTGTAATATGTGGTTTAGGGTTGCGCCCAGTGGCACAATTGACAAACATCACCGGCTCAAAGGGGACGTAAGTACCCCCTTTGATAGCAAGGTGGCAATTGGGCGTGGCATGGGCGCAGCTAAGGATATAATAAATAAATAAATAATGTTTTTAAATATCCACTTAAATGCTAGACAAAAATCGTTTCGAATGCGGTTGGGTATAGCGATAGTGTTTGAAGGGTCGGAAGACAGTGTGTGGCAAAACGTCGGTCATTTAGTGATAAAACGGTGACCGGAAGTGGTTGGTGTTCAAGTGGTTGGGTGTTTCATGTTCCTACCACAGTGGCATTGGACGTTGCCGGGCCAAGAAAGCGGGCAGACTGGCAGCAGTCGGGGCGGGACAACCTAAAAAGTAATAAAGAGAGAAATCATTATTATGAGAAAGGAAAGTAGAAAGAAGGAACATATTCTTGGACTACTTACGGCACACAGCGCAGGTTTGCTCATCGGTTCCATCACCGCAGCCATCTCGTCCGGAGCAGACGATTGCGGTGGACCGGCACAGTCCGTTGCTGCAGCGATGCGGGCAGTAGGCGTCCGCCTCCCGCCGTCCACCGCCGAGCAGACCGCCGGCCTCGATAAGGCGCATGAAAAGATTAGGAAGGGCGCGAGAGCCGCAAAGATGTGGGGGCTCATCGCTGCCGTCCTTGCAGGACACGATCGCATTGCAGTACTCGTACTCCGGCAGGCACTCACCGCTGCCGCAGCGGAAAGTGTGCTCGGGGCAGGCGTTACCGCCCTTCAGACTGCCATCACAACCCATTTCATCCTCGCCATGAGGACACTGCCGTCGACCATCACACAAGGCCGCTCGGGAGATGCAGCGACCGCTTCGCTGGCAACGGAAGGATTCAGTCGGACAGCTCTGGTTCAGGCGGGCGTTGTGGGTGCATTCCTCGTCGGAGGCGTCATTACAGTCGGCACGGCCGTCACACACGAAGAACCACGAGATGCATACGCCACTCGAGCGGCACTGGAATGGAATTACCAGTTATAAAGTGAAAAAATATATATAAATATTGTAGGACTAACCTGGAAGGTTCCGGGACTGCATCCGGTTTTCTCGGCGCTGCACTGGGTTCCCTGTTCGCCGGCGGCACAATCACAGACTCCTCGTCTATTGCACACGGTGTGAGGATCAGCCAGCTGGCACTGACGATCGTTGGTACAGGCCAATCCCAGAGAAACTGCCTCCAGACCCAAATCCACACGTTTGCGCAGCTCGGAACCTGGTTTAATAGCAGATAGCGAGGCAGGAAGAATAACAGCTGGGGAAGCTGGTTCCGGAGTCGGTTCATCGGCGGTCATCAGCGGCATCAAAGTGGTAACGACGGGAGCAGCAGGCTCCATGAGGGTCACCCGACTGGCCAGACCCAACATGGTCTGGGTGGTGATCTCGACGATGTCAGCGGGATTTGGTGTGGCTTCCTCATGCGGGATCACATGATTAGCTGCGGGCTCCTCCTCAATGTGGTTATTATCAAGTTCCTGAAGACCATCGATGTTGGTGGTAGATTCCAGTATCAGGCTTTCGGATTGCAGCTCATTAAAGCGGTTCGCGTCGGAGTGATCGCTAAGATCGAAAGGATGAAGTTCGGGGGAGGGGGTGGATTCTTCCTCGGGTTCGGATGCGAGTTCCTCGATTTTTTCTGTCGTGGCTTCCTCTGGCAAAGACTCGGTCTCAACTTCATTGGCTGGTTCCTCTTCCTTGGGCGCTTCCGCTTCATCCTGATGATTTTCCTCTACATGATGTTGCTCCTCTTCATCTTGATGTTGCTCCTCTTCATCTTGATGTTGCTCCTCATCATCTTGATGTTGCTCCTCTTCATCATTTTGGTGTTTTTCTTCCACTGGTTTGTGCTCCTCTTCACTGGGCTGATGCTCTTCCTCAATTTTCTGAGGTTCCTCTTCAATAGGCTGCTGTTCCTCCGACAACTTAGATGGTTCTTCCTCAACATGCTGCTCCGGAATAGGGGTTACCTGCTGTTCTTCATCCTCCTGCTCTTCATCATTAGCTGCCTCTGCGAACAGTTCGGGAATTGCGTGTTCTGGTTCCTCAGCCGGCTGCACTTGCTCCGCATGATCTTGGGTCTCATCGGCTTCAGCCTGAAGATCGGAAATGGCTTCATGTGGTTGCTCCTCCTCATTCTCAGAGTTAGCCTCGACCATGGGAACCGTTTGGGCGGGTTGTTGGCCAAATGGAACAGGGGGCACAGTGCTGTCACCTTCCAACATCAAGTCGCTAAGGATATCGGCAATACTCTCGCTCTCATGGAATTTCTGGGCATCCTGTTCGGGGTCGTGTTCTTCACTGACAATGGCAATGGGTGCTTCTGGAACCTCAGGGGCCAATGTGGTATCAACTGGCTCCGATTCTTCCGCTTCAATGGCAGCTGTCGTTTCTTCTGGCTGGGAAAGTTCTTGAAGATGCTCAACACTGGTGTAGTCCAACTCGGGTTTGGCAAACTCCTGCTCTTCCAGAACCTCTGGAGTTTCCTCTTCAGCTTCACCAACTTGAGATTCCTCCTTTTCTGGTTCTGTTTCAGGCTCTAAAATCTCTGCCTGTTCTTCATTAGGCTCAGCTCCCTGGATGATGTTATCATTCTCATTTTTCTCAATCTCCACTTCATCTTGCTCTTTGCTGATCTCTGGAATAGTCTGGGCACTTTCACTGGCCTCGGTTTCTGGTTCGATCTCCGTCTGATCGGGTTCCTCAGTGGCTTCCTCTGAGATATCACCATCGCTCTTAATTGGCAGCTCTGGCTTGGCCTGATCCGCATCCACCTGCGACACCTCATCATTAGCGGGCGCAACATCTGACTCTGACTCTGGTTCTGCTTCTTGAATCTGTTCGGTTACCACCACTGGTTCCTCCTCAACATCTGAGGCGGTCTCAGCCTCGATCTCTTTCTCGGTGGCTGACTGGATTTCTAACTCAGCCAGGGGCTCTGCAATTGCTTCCGACACTTCGGGCGTCTTAATTGCATTTGCATTTTCTTGGGGCTCCACCTGTTGCTCCTCCTCATGTGTTTGTGCCGCCTCTTCCTCTGTCTCCTCCCCATTATGCTGTTCGGGCAGCTCTGTAGTAATCTCAGCGATTTCTGGTTCCTCTGTGGTCAGCTCTGGTTCTGTTTCCACTGGCGCCAATTCATCATCATTTGTTGGGTATGTCAATTGTTCGTGCTCCGCTTCGGAGATTGCCTCCACCTCTTGCTCGGGCTCTTGGACTGGTTTCTCTGTTGTGGCTTCATCTGCATCTTGATGGATTTCCACCACCTGTTCGGGCTCTTTTTCTTCTTCGATCTCCTCCTGCTCCACAGCCGCTGGCTCGGTGACTTGGTCTTGATTTAATTGATTGGCTTCATTTAAATCATCTTCGCCACTTGTCGGCTTGATGTCGGCGCTTTGTTCCGCCTGATCGATCTCAGATTCCATATCTGGCTTGGCTTCTGTGGCCGACAGCTCCACTTCTGCGGCTTCGGTCGCTGCTGTTTCATTTTGTTTTTCTATTTCCATTTCGGTTTCTGGCTCCTCTGGTTTTTCCACCTCGACAACTTGGCTTTCACTCTCCACCTGGGCTGGCTCTTCGATCTTCAACGCTTCCGTTGACTCCTCCTGCTTGGGCGCCTCCTCCTCATCGTTGTTGGCCACAGCAACATCTAACTCATGATCCCCCGATGCCAGATCCTCAGGTGTTTCTTCCTCGGGTTTCTCTGCAGCTTCTTCGGCTGCCTTCGTCACACTTTCGGTTTCAGCTTCATTAACTGGGATCAGTTTTTCATCGGCCACAGTCTGGGATGTCTCTGGGTCCTCGTCCTCCTCCAGCGGCTGCGTCTGGATCTGGGGCTCGGTGCTGGCCTCCGCATCAGTCTCGCTCTCGGTATCAATGGGCACCACCTCCTCATTAGTCTGATGGTGTACTGTCTCCTCCTCCTCCTTGGCTGGCTTCTCTGGCTCTTCTTCTTCCACTGGAGTTTCATAATCGAATTTCATGGTGTCGTCGATGGGCGATGAGGCAATCTCTTGTCCACCCGAGGCCTCCGCAGTCTCTTCATTTTCCTCAATGGGTGCGACTTCAGGTACCACTGGGGATTCTTCTTCGGGTTCAGGCTGATCCACAGTTAATTCAGGAGTTTCAGGTTTGTAATTGTGCTCTTCCGTGTACTCCTCATCGATCTTGTACGGATAATCCTCGGTGGGTCCAGCTTCAGTTTCTTGCTCTAAATTAATAGCATTCTCGGTAGGAACATCTGCGGGCGTCAAAAGCTGCTGGACTCCAGTGGTGGCGTCTTGAGAGGATTGAGGAAGCTGTGGTTCGTTTGGTTGGGCTACGACCTCATGATGTTGTCCTTCTTGATGTTGCTGCTCCTCTTCTTGATGTTGCTGCTCCTCCTCTTGGTGTTGCTGCTCCTCCAACTTATGTTGCTCCTCCTCTTGACGCTTCTGCTCCTCCTCTTGATGTTGCTGCTGTGTCAGTTCGGTTTCCTCATGAGCCATGTCCACAGCCTCCAATTTTTCAACATTATCAACCTCAGCGACCTCGGGTCTCAGCTTAGTGCTCTCACCGTCGTCTTCCTCCAGAGATTGCTCCTCGACACTGGCGGGCAACTCATCTTCTAGGATAACGGGAGCAGCTGTTGTCGTGGTTGTGGTCGTTGTTCTCCTGGTAGTTGTTGTGGGTGCAGGAGTGGTTGTCGTCGTCGTTGTTGTTGTCGTTGTTCTTCTTGTGGTTGTTGTTGGCTTAGGAGTGGTTGTTGTCGTTGTTGTTGTGGTACTGCTAGCTGGCTGCTCCACCTTCTCGATTGGTTGTTCCTGCTTCTGATCTTCCTGATCCGCCGCTGGGGCCACACAGAGACCACCCACCATTTTGGCGGGACTTGTGCACTGGCAACGTCCGAAAAGATTCGGGATGAGGAAGTCGCAGTGGGTGCGGGTGTCGAACATTTGACAGTGGGCGTGACTGTAGCAAACGGCGCCAGGATGGGCAGCTGCGGGTGGAAGATAAAGATCGGTCGCGAAAAGTTCTCGTGAGATTCTATTTTTTGCTGGCTCTGATTGTGTGTGCTTTTGTTATAGTTGGGGGATGGTTGGTTGGATGGGATATGTTATTAAACTAACCGTAAACCGAACTCCAAGCACCAAATGCATATTAAAAACTCATCATCATCATCATGAACTGCCACACCAGAACAAGGAGGAGCAGTCGCAACAAGAACAAGAACAACATCAGAGCATTAGCCCGCCTTCGACAAGCCTAATAACCGTCAATAAAGTCAACTGCAACTGCAACAGCCCCAACGCATAACCGATGCAGAAGTGCAACGAGTAACAGAGGTAGATGCAGAGGAAAAAAAACTCAAAAACTTTGGTTTGCTACTCTAAAGATAAAGTTCGTTTTAAACAGTAAGTTTTCTATCAAAGACTTTTTCCTTTCGTAGTAAATAACCTAATTATAACCGTAATCACATTTTGGAAGGTCACACTAAAAATAACTGTTGTTTATATTGAAATTCATCTAACCCAAGTAATGTTTTTGATTTTCTTTTTACTCCAGTACTAAAATCTCTTAATAAGTTTAACTTATGTATATATCCCCATTCTTTCTGTGCATAACTGGCTAAGAAGGCGAACAGATGGGAACCAGAAGATGACGCTGAAACGTCGGTGACGTCGCCCATTCCCATTACCGTTCCTCATCAGCATTCCAGTCGCCGATAACTGGCTAAAAAGAGACGGCGACTGTTGGTTGCACCGAAGACTGCAATGACTGCCAAGACTGAGCCACCTGCGTGTCTGCCACTGTCCTCCTCTGGAATCTCAGCTCTGACCCACTTTCCGGACTGCCGCTCCAACTTGTTTTCACTTGTTTCGTTTTTGGCTTGCTAGGCAACTTGCAACAAGCAACAAGCATCCAGCAACTAGCAACTGGCGACATGCCATTTACCATTTCACTGGCCAAAGCAGCCACCTGCAGTTGCCCTTTGGGCAGTGTCTGGCCAAGGAGATCCATTTCCATTTCCATTTTTATTTCCTTTACCCCCAGCTGGCATTCAATTGGATTGGAATCTGAGCGAGATCATAAATCGGTATACCCTTTATTCCTAGCCCAGGCGAACGACTCTTCGGTTCTCTCGCGGGAATTTTGGACACAAAACCGACATTTGTCGGCAACTAACAAAAGGCTCTGGCATTGGCCATTGGGGAACCGGTTGAGAGCGGTGACTCCAAGGCACATAAAAGGCATACGGCCAGCGTGGCGTATACTTAACGAATGCACCGCCTGACACTGACACTGCGCTCTGCCATTTCCATTGCCATTCCAAATGCGAGTAGCTCAAACGTGTCTTGCCGCAGTTTGACACCAATATGGAATCAACGCGAAGCAGGAAGGAATCAAAAGGGGGTTTTTCTGCTGATCCCAAACGGTTGGCCTCATCTTTCACTTTTATATAACAGCATTAGAAGCGGTCACACAGGGAAAAAATATCTCATGTCATTAGTCATTAGTCGTTTTTATCGTAACTAATATTGATTTTAAAACAGCCGGCATCTTTTAATCAAGTTGCAAAAAAAACTGAATCGTAATTTTTGGCATAATTTAACCAACACATTTTCTTTAAAAATGTTCATTAAATTTCAACTATAAGTTGATTAAGAATATGGCCATATAAAAACAAAGTTTTTTAAAGTAGAACAAAGATGTAAAGATTTTCCCATGTGCAGCCGTAATGTCCCATCTTGGGCATGAGTCGACGCCTCTGATCTGGCCACCAAAACCGATGATCGATAGGCTGCGGGGCCAATGCCATGGCCACTTAGCACTGAACTCGCCCCCCGGCCGCCCCATTTGGGTTTGCTGGTGTGACAGGTTGCAGCGAATCGCTGCACGACTGCAACTGCTAACCTAACCCACTTCGATTACGGCTAAAGCTCGCTCTGCGAGATCTCCACGGCGCGTGTGAAAATTGCCCAATGGATCTAAGAGATCTGGCTGGCAGATCTGGCTGAGCTTTGGTGGGGCGCAACGCGGCGGGATGGCTCGCATCATAAACAATAATTTCCATCGAAATCAGCATAAATTAAATCACAGCTTCCTCGACGTTATTGTCTTTGGCTGAGTCGCCGCCGGTGGCCGGAATTGCAAAACTGTGTCAACCGCCTGGCACGCACAGATACAGATACTGCTGAGCTACAAATGTATCTCAATCTGAGGCAGCATTCCTGCGGCTATAATAAGTCTATTTATGCCGTCGACTTTCATTAGGAGCAAAAGCCACTTGCCATTCCGAAAACAAAAGGAACTATAATAATATATATATGTATATGTTTTAATTATTAGCGGAAATTTGAATTTTCTGGAAATGTTACTTGTAAATATTAAGTTTTCTTTCCATTATTATTGTCGCTTTGCGGAAGTTCGGCTGTTTCCACATAATTTGCATGCAATTTGGCATTTGGCGCAATTTGGTTTGAAATGGCCATTCAAGAAAATTTTGTTTTCCGTATTTTTTTCTCTTATGGTTTCTAGCCGCAAATTAACACAGTTTGACTGGCTGCCTTTGTGGGTCATGCGAAATGAAATGGAATTTTTCGGTGGCTTTTTTTTTGGTTTTTGGTCTTTTCTTTCTTTCCATTTTAAGCATTTTAACCATTTTTTGGGTGCAAGGTGTCGCAATGGAAAGTATTTTCCCTGCTTTGGCTTGCGAAGGTGTTGAGGCAGGAAGAAAGTGAGCCGAGAGTTGCTGGAAAGAGTGACTAGGAAATTTCCTATGCCTTATATAATGAGAGTCGGGAATGCCATAAAAGTCGACACCAAGATGTGTTGAATATTTTCAGATTTCGGGGGTTTAAGGAAAGGTTTAGCCAAAAACTAGTTGGGATATGTAAGTATATTGTCATTAAGATGATGATTTTAAATATACAACTCAATTAAAATTATTTAAATAATAGTTATTTGTAAAAAAGGATTATCAAAAGCTAAGACTTTCAGATATATTGCATAATTTAGTTTATCAGAGACTAAAGAAAAGATTTCAGACACTTCTAAGAATATTCCAGTTCAAATTTCGCATCTGTTTTTCCTGTGCATCTGATGATCGACTACGTCAGAGTGGTTCACTTTTCCTGCAACTTTGTATGCAGAAGATCTCGATCTGGCTGACAGTCACAGCCTCCGTGTGTCTGGGCTATCTGTTCATTATCTGTTTGCCGCACACTAGACTATAGCAAACTATACTATACTCGTATATATATTTGGCATACTTTTTCCCGCAGCCCGTGAAACGGGGAGAGTAGAGTAGACTAAAGAGCAGCCTGGCGATGCAAAGGGGGGAGATGTCATATGTGCATATATAACTCATAAAGATCAGAGGAGATGCGAGGAAATGGCTCATTGTTGGATGGCGGTGGTGGCTCGTTAAGAGCGGCTGGTGGCTACCAAACAAAAACGGGTAAAACGAATGAGCCAATCCCGGAATGGGCTTGGGCCCGATGGGTTAAGGTGCATGAGAAACTGGAACAAGTGGCTAAATGGAAAGCCTGACAAGCTAACAAAATCTGGCACACCACTTGCTTCACTTGACCCGCGACTGAGCGAAATGGCGATAGGATGAAGTGAATGGCCAATCCCAAATGTGTGCAGCATTTTTGTCAACTGCATATAAAAGTTTTTTATTTTTTTGGCTTTTCTTTCTTACTTTGGGAATTTCAGCGATCTTTTGTCTCTTTCTTTACATAGACTTCTATTTTTCTCTATCTCTTTCGCGCTGAGAACTAATTGGACTTTTCTTGGACTTTCTTTTGCATTGGCGGCTAATCAGTGCAATTTAATTACGAGTCGAGGCAATTAGCCATGTAAAGTAGCTAAAGATACAAATCAAAAGCGGGGACTTTAAGCTTTGAGCCAGGTGGCAGAGGGAGGAAGCTGCCCTGGCAGGATGTCTGTGGTGAAAGGTTGACTTCTCTCCCTCTACCTCTCTCTGTCTCCCCTCACCAGCTCTTTCTTTTATTGTGTTTTTGGTGAAAGTATCTCATAAATGACTGGCTTCCCACTTCTTGCCACTTGCCACAAATACCCCACTACACATGAAAAAAAGTCAAGTGAGGGAAATATCCAATTAATCTTTATCGCCCATTTATGTTGATCTAAGTAAGTTCCAGGGTAAATGGTTAATAGCTAGTTAAATTTGCATTGCAAATTGAATGCCTCTTCATAGAACTTGATTTCCTGGTGCTTATCTTCAATTAAGAATGTTAAATCGATCCTGTGTTAGACTATCACAAAATACTTCGATCGTTTCCCCTTAATTAAAATTTCATCTACTAAAAATACTTTAAATTTATTTCCGTTTATCTTTGCCTCGTTACCCACACCACTGACCAACTTTGTCTATAAAATTACGCTTAATAAAATATCAAGATTACTCTCGGCCAGCTGTTCTGCCACGCCCCCTTCTCCATACATATATATTTAGATATATATATTGAGTTCTTATGCTATATAATTAAGTCAGCAGTAAGAGAGGGGATTTGAGAGGGGCAAGGGGACACTCTGCAACATCAGGTGAATGGCAATGACACGAACTGCGCCAGTTGCAGTAGCTTCATGTCCACGATCGTGCCTCATTGCTCTGCTTTTAGCGTGTTTAAAGTTTAAAGAAGTCGATGTATGGCAACGAAGTCGGCGGAAGAGGGGCTAACCCCGCCATATGGCCTCTCGATTCTAGTCAACATTCTAATCAGATTAACGCCACTTGGCGCCAATGTGCCAAAAGGAAGCGGAGCGAATTCAAACTAGATTGCGATCTATGCAGGGCTGGCAGCTAGCTGAAGTACCTAAGATTTGCATTTTCAAGAGTCACTGGTTTTAGAATACTTCTCAATGTGAATCCCCTTAAAAGATATGATCTTAATAGCAAATAGCATTCTTTCTCGGATAATTTCTTTAATCTTTTCCCCATAAATTTGAGCCATAATATCTCGGCTTTCTTCTGGGCTTCTTTATGCGTTCCTTAGTCACTAGATGAGTCACATGCCAATGATTTATTCCCAAGTCTGGGATATGAGTCACAGCTTCATCTTTCTGTTAAGAGCCCTGAGCCCTAGAAGTTGCAGCTTGGAAAGACCCAAAGAAGTATCTTAAAATGTATCTTTCACACATCGCAATGCACAAACAGAAACACAAACACTCGCTGGGAGAGATCGAAGCCAAACATTTACATTTTACATTTAACGTTTAACGTTTTTCACGTTCAACGATCTGCAGGTTTGTTAGTGTCTGTTGGCTAGTCGGTCTTCTACCAGGTTGTTAGCCAGTTCTTGGAAGATTAACCAATTATGCGTATAATTAGTGACACGATTGTCTTGTTAGGCTGGAGTATTTTCATCGTTATTGTTATTGTTACACAGCCATTTTCAGTGTTATGCCCGTGTTAATTGCCAGTGTCAAGTGCCGGCGAAAAGGAAAACCCAGCTCGTTCGAAGTGTTAAAGAACCAGCAAACAGGAAATGGTAGTGTGTTGTAGTAGGTATAATCCTACTTTATATACGAGTATATATAAACTGATGGGGCTCATTGCGTGACATTCCATGGAAGGGAATAACGAGAAATGATAAGCAATCAGAGTGGGGATTATTAGTCGGCTGCCCGGCCGCCTGTCCGTTTATTGCAATTCACCAAACACCGCACACACCGAACAGTTAATGATATTATCTAATTGTTTATAAGTTCCGTGGCAATCAGGTGGAATTAGGGCCACAATAGCTGGCCGGCGGTTGGCTGATACTTACGTCCCAGACAGGTGTGCTTGCGGAACTGCAGGAATCCCTCGACGCAACGGCATGCTCCTTCCAAGCAACTGCTATTGGCCACCTTCATGGAGCACTGCTCGCTCAGCTGGCAGTCGCCGCCAAGTAGTTGGGCTGCAAGCGAAATTAAAGCGAACAAAATTCATCATTAAAAATCAAATTAAATTTAATTTAAAACGAGCTATTAAATGATGTCGATTCTTAGGAAAAATATATCTAAGTTGCAGAAAGCCACTGAGAGCTGGAAAGCAACTCTAAGCCCCTCATTAGAGTGCAATATTTGGAAAGGTTGTGAGTTTGTCTATGAAAAAAGTGTTTACCTCATGGAAAAACTAAGGCCAACCAAATCTCATTTGACATTCAAATAAGCCTTAGGTTGTAGGAAATCTAATAAAGTGCCTTCCCTAGTTAATATATTTGTTTCTTTAATATGAAAACTTGATTAACTTGAGCTTGAAAGACCTGCAATTTGTTTAACTTAACTAAACATATTTAACTTCTCTAACAATTTGAATTACTAATTTAAGTGAGGAAATGGTTAGAATTATTTTCACTGTGTAAGGAAAGTCGCAGTGAGTGCATCTAACGGTTCTTCTGTGGACAAACACACATCTCCGCCCCATTGTTTGCCCGGCAAACATTCTGTACTCCCACTTTGGGGTTAGCCAAAGATTGACTTTGCCTACTTACATGACAAACAGCGCTTGGAATCCAGCTGAACAAAGTAGGGGGCGCACTCGCAGTAACCGAGGGCGGAGCAGCTGCTGCCCTTGATGAAATCCGTGCAGTCCATGTCATGCTGGCACTTGTCCCCCAATTCCAGAGCTCGACTCGCGTCCAGAACTGTGAAGATGATCAGCAGCTATAAAGGAATGTAAAGATGGAGAAATTAGACTAAATTAAAAAACCATTCTTATCAGGCTTATAAGTAGCTTATTAGGTAACCATTTTCATCTTAGCAGTTAATTATTTAATTCAGACCTTTCTTAACTAACACTTAACTCATCCTTATTTCCCTATTAGGCCCTATACTATAGCTCATAATTGGAAAGATATATAATTTAAAATTTGCACATTTAGCTGACATAGCACTTAGGGCCATTCTCAACACCCTCTATTATTATCTCCCTATAAGAAGCTGCAATTAGTAAATGCAAGAAATGACTTAACGACCTGAACTTTATGAGATCGCCTTAGATCTGTGATCTGTTATTTATTACATCACTTAATTCCTTCAATTAGGTGCCCAGCTTTGCATAGACCATGATTAAATCGGGCATGGGGCTTTAACCGAAACGAAATGAGCCAACCAATTGGCCGGCACCAAAGTCTTGACCAAGTCTTGTTATAGTCCCGAACAAATTGCCCGACTACACGGAATTAGCTGTGGGCCAAAACTCAGACAAGAAAAGCAAAAACAACACAGAAATAGCCGTAAAATTCGTAGTTAATCGTAGCAGATCATACAATCTGCGGTTTTTTCCTTTTTTATGAATGAAGTGCGATGTGTGTAAATGTATCTTGTAGATTGTAGCATCTGTGAGCGGGCTTTTGTTTTGACGCAGACACAGTTAACGTTATATCAGATGCTACAAAGATACACAGATACTAGCTAGCTGGAGTTGTAAAACAAAATTAACAGTTGCCTGAACACACGCCCAGCCCAAGAGGGTGGGGTGGGATTGGTCGAGATATATAATTAAAAAAAAAAAGTACAGAAACAAACAGTAGATCCAAGGGTACCCACTACCAACTTGGGCTCCCGTCTTTTTTTTTCGCTTCTCTTCTTTTTTGCAGTTAGAACTGGCTAATAAATAAGCTGAATTTTGTGGCCAACAAGACAGAGGGTGCAATGTACTTTCTGCTCATCGCGAATGAGCGCCACACGCCATTAATTACGAACCCGGCCTCTGGGATTGCCATTACCTAACCGAAACCAAAACCAAAACAGATACAAGATACTAGTTAGGTAACTGGGCTGGTTCGTTCTTCTTTTCTGGTTCTGGGTTTTGCATACCGGCAAACGGTACAACCAACTCCCCCGCGTCTTTGGTGTTATTTCGTTGACTTTGGCTTAAATTTGTTAACGCATTAAATACAATGATTACATAAAGTTTGTCTGTTGGTCTAGCAGGGGGAATTCCCTCTCTTCAGTTAATTGGTAAGAAGAACTCTCAGATTCGGATTCCAATTCCACAGACACGCAACTCTTTGGTAAATCGTACAAGTTGAGACATTAAAACCACAGTTAGGATCGTTTGGCTAAGATGCAACTTTGTTGGCATTGCCTCTCTTTGATTGTGATAAATGGTTATGGGAAATTCTTGTAATAAAATATATGAAAATGTCTAGGATTACATGGTGCAGTTGAGCTCTTTAGTGAGTGATCTCTAAAGTTTCAGGTGATTATCTCTTAGATAACAGCCGAATAAATCTAAATCTTCTTTATACTTCTAAGACCTGTTTAAAGTGAAAGCCTCTTGATTAGGCCTTAAATTCCTTTTTTTATTTTCTATTAAAATAAATTTAGGAAAACATTTTCTTTATGGCTTTCCCCGGAACTATCAAAATCATTAAATTGGGTTTATTGAGAAGTAAACCATTAGCACTGCTCATCGGGGTCTTCAAATAACAATGAATAAACAAACTACACAGCATAATCCCCATTCAGAGGTGTTTTTCCTCGGGTCTCAAGATCATTTCGCCACTCATTGGATGCTTGTGTCTAGTCAAAACAACACTTGCAGCACTTTACCACCGGGGCACTGTGGCAAGACCCTCTCGACCATTGAGTATCGCTCAATGGGAGCAACAATATAAACAAGGCCTCGAATAGGGGAAAAAGTATCGGTATCGGAATAGGAATTGGAATCACAAACAACCGGAGAACCAGAAATGAAACCGTTCAAGCTCGGCGGCATCAATAAAATGTCAATAAACAGAGAAGAAATTGTTTAATTACGCTTTCGAGAGGCTTTCGAGCACGAGACACTATATACGAGTAGATATTGATAGAATAAAGAGAGAGGCTGCTGGCCATTAGAGGTGAGTGTTTGTTTCGATGTGACCCAATAACTACGGGTGGCCAAGTTACTTTCGTTGTTGGCCAAGAATTGTCAACTAACAGTCGAAAAACAAACAAAAAAAAACAACAAAAAAGAACAAAGCTGGTAAATAAAGATCTGCAGGCAGAAGGCTAATAACAGTCAAGCCATGTCCACCCGGCCATTTGTAATCCTCAGCGTGGCCATTCATCTTCCTGGCCAAAAGGCCAGTCTTTAAGGCCCGATCTGCCAAAACCCCATTCATCAGCCTCCGCGAACTGACTTGGCTTATTTATTTTTCTGCCTATTTTTATATATATATAGTTTCTTTTTTTTTTGGGGTTTGGGGTTTACGGCCAGTCTGTGCTAATGAAGACCCGTTGCAGTGGCATTTTCTTGCGGCCAACGCTGCAGTCATTGTAATTTAGAATCGTAAAAGAACAGCAAGACCGGGCAGCAGCGAAAAAAGAGTAGATAATTTTTCGTGTTTTACAAATTACTTTCGTACTCTTTTAATGATCGTCGGGCGCCAGACCGTCTGCTGACCTTTGGCCGGGCCGAATGCAGGTGGAGCGCACAGATGCAGTTGCTTTCCGGCTATATCTGGCTATCCTCAAGCTCTTCTGGCCAAGACTTAATGCACTTGGCTTGAAATGGGTTGAATGGGCCGGCCGAGGGCAGCAGCCGAAGCAGCAGAAACATAATAACAAACAACATCGAAACGGATAAATTGTTTGTTGATCTTGGCTTGGAGTGGATAAAAAAAAAAAAAAAACTGGTAGAAGGAAATTTTCTCTAAAGTGCTGCAGTCGAGGAGCCCTTGGCCTATGGCTTTCTACCAAACAGATTTCATTGATTTAGCACCCATGAATAGATTGGATGAGAAAATCAAATTGAATTACAAAAGATGATCTTTGATCATGGATGAAATTGAATACTAAATATTTTCTATGCAAATGGATGGCCTAGGATGATCAGTTGGTAAGAGTAAAACTTAAAGATTTCAAACTATAAAGTTTTTATAAAAGAAATCAGGGGAACTAAGCTCAGTGAACTTCCTTTCTCTCTAATATTTCTCTATCTTTCCCGGAATCCAAAAATAGCCAGCAATTTCAATAGAAGCGTTTATTAATAGTCAAACTAGTTCCCATAGTGCTGGCATAATGGCTATTCCCGCAGTAATAATGATTAAGTGCCGGGCAATGAAATTTTATGAAGCAAATAATTCACTAAACTTAATGCCCCATCTTGTGTTTCGGTAGGTGGATGATGAAGTCCGGCCCAGTGGAGCAGAGGAGCAAAGAAGACTCCCACCTTTTATTAGATTAATTTGCCCACATTACTCAGCCGGTGAAGTGGCGACCCCCAACCGAACAGAACCGACTTCATCATGATCTTCGACGCCTGCCTATCCATCTATCAGCTACAATTTGACCCAATGGCCGACTTCACAGCTCTTTACACACGAGTGAAAGAACTTGGGCAGCAGCGGCCCACGATTGAAGTGCCCACGCCAGAAGAAAAAAAAACCAAAAAACCAAAAACAAAAAATAAATTGTGCCAAAAAAATGAATCTTTTGTTTAAGAAAGCGAAAAAGTGGCCAACAATGGAACGCTGACCAGGTGACAAACATTTCGTTTGGCTGCCTTTTTGGAGCGATTTGAATTGGCAACGCCCCAAATGATGATCTTTGTATGGAGGAGTGCAATTTGATTTTGTACTTTTTCGGTTTTTCCTCTTTTTTATTTTGGCCATAGATGAGTTGACTTACCGCTAAGAGCCGCTTAACCGTAAAAGCGTTTCCATTGAGCATTGCGATCGCAGGTTGCTTTCTCGATGTTGCTGACTGCCTGGCAGTCGCCGTCATTGCCGCTTCTGAATCTCCAAGAAGCTGCTTTGGATCTCCCTGGGAAGGCTTTTCTCGCTTTTCCCTCCTTTTGTATGTTTTTTTTTTTTGTTTGGTTGTTGTTATTCGAATTTTTTGCTGCTTTCTTGGGTTATTTTCCTGTGGCTGGGTACTCCTCTCGTTGCAGTCGTTAATATATGTTTTGTGTTTCTGTGGAAAGGAGTCGGTTGGTAAGGGGAGACTTGACTTAAACTCTGAACTCTGAGGGTCAAAAACGGAACGAAAACGTTTCTTCTCTTTCTCTTCTTTTTTTTTCTATTTTATTATTTTGGGGTAAAGGAAATGCGCCCCAGTAACAAGACAAAAAAAAAGAGGGAAATAATAATAATAATAATTTCTGTTTTATTATTTTGCAGTTGTCGGTCGAAGCGAACCGGCCGGCATGCGGCTCACACGCCCCTCATTCGCATTCAATGGGCATTCGAGCGGCGCTCGCAGTCGCTCCACTTTAAAACGAAAGACTTAGGCAGCAAACTTGCGGCGGCAGCCGAAAATCCAAAAACCCGAAAACCCGAAAATGGGAAATTAACACCTGAACCACCTAGGCCCTAAAACTTATTTCGTTTATTTTTTTTGTCGACCGTTGTCTCGTGTTTTTTTCCCCCTTTAGTTTTTGCTATTTTCACTTGCTGTGACGACCTTTGTCTTTCTCCCTCTCGCTGTGTTTTTCCTCGCTTTTTGTGTCTTTTTTTTTTTTTATTTGGAATTTGGGTAACGTTTTTGTTGCCGCCGTTGTATCTCTGTTCTGTGCTGCTGCTGCTGCTGCCGCTGCCGCTCTGTTATAAAATTTCATTTTATTGCAATGCATGAGTCTGGGCCGAAGAGTTCGAGACTGGGTCTGAGAATGTGGCGCTCTAGGGCATTACCGTTAGGCGGCTGAGAAGAAAACAAAAAAAAAAAAAGAGCGCTCTGTGCTGATATAAAACATCTACTAACTCCAGCATTTTTATAACTTAATAAAAAATGAGAAAAAGGGAAGGGAAAACGGAGCTGACAATGAAGCAGGGCCTAAGAGTTCGATTTAAATTGGTCTAAGGTGAGATGCCCTGAGAACTAGTCGCTGCACGGTGAAAAATGTGTGGGATTCTTTTAAAGTTAGCCTCGGTTTTAGTGTGATCAAAAAATATGTCAGTTTTAATTTACATTTTGAAAGTATTCCTAGAGGTTTAGCCAACAGAATAATAGTTAAGGATAAAAGGAATAACCTCCTTGAAAGACTAACCAAGAACCTGCCGAAAAAAAGAGTTACCATTTCTAAAAATTCGTTTCTTTTTCTCTTTAAAATCTTGACTTTTGTTTGATTATTTCCATTTGGTCAAGGGGTGTATCGAGGGCGTGTCTGTACGATTGCCGGGCTCAATTTTTGTGACCCAGTCAGCCGGGAAGATCTGCAGATACAAATGCAGATAGAGATGGATATGGAGATACATATGGAGATGGCTATGACGATGGCGGAGATCTTCCGCAATCGATCAACATGTGCAAAGTGTTGGCTGTGGCGACCACAAAAGAGCGGGGTTAGCTGACTGGAGGGGAATAGCATTTTTAGTTTGCGGTTTTTGCGCTTGGTCTATCGGTCGCTGGGTCGTCATCAATGCGATGCAATGCGATGCACCGAGAGCCAACTGGCAAAAGCCTGGCTAAGACTCTGGCCGAGAGACACTCAGACACAAGGTAGAAAAGCAAAAAGCAGCGCGATTCTAGCACCGTTATGCACCCAATATGGCGACTCCACCGCCACAGCACATGTGGCTGGAGTTGGAGCCAAAGTTAAAGCCAGATCCCCAAGCTGAAGCTAAAGCTGGACTGGCTTTGGGTGCATCTGCATCTGTTTGGTTTGGTTTGGCTTTGGCTTTGGCTTGGCTTGTGTGCTGTGAGCTCTGTGTTCAATGTGTTCTGGTGCCACTGCCACTGCATCTCCAACCGCATCTCCAGCAAACTGGACAGGAGAACGCTGCGCTGTCTTCACTTGACTGCCTTCCCATGTATGTTTGTCTATCTGGCCGCTCGCTGTTTGTTTGTTGGTTTGTTTGTTTGTTTTCCTGGCGAGTGTGTGTGCGCAAGAAAACTGAAATTACACTCAGTTGGCCCGATGGCCGCGCCTTAGTCCAATTCCAAAAAATACCCCTCGATTATTATTATTATTATTATTATTATTATTATATCCTTCTTTTTTTCTCTCGATTGCTTGATATATTTTTTAAACAATTTTTTTAGCTACCGTTAGGAGGGTTTTTTGTATTATATTTTTGTCACTCGCGTCGCGGCACTTTTGGGTATTAAGTTTTGAAAATGTTTGAGCTTCTTTAGGTTTTGAGCAGTTTAGTGTGCAAAGTGCAGCCACATCACACGGAGATGAGCTGAGCTGGGCACGTCCGCACGTAACGATGGTCAGCAACGAACTGAAGAGGAGCCAGCCAGCCACGGACTTAAAGAACCAAGACAAGCAGCCGCGGTCGCAGTCGCCAGCAGCAGCAACATCAGCAGCAGCGCCAGCAACAGCAGCAACATCACCAACAACAGCAACACGAAGCAGTTACATTGGCAGCGAACTCTTGGCTGAAAAGAGAGCTTTTTGGCCAAAGTCAAAGTCAAGGCAGCGAAGCTTTTCAAGACACGACAAGTGCCGAGGTCTTAGTTTCATATAGTTGGTGTTGGTGTTGTTGCTGATAGTAATGTTGCTGCTGCTGCTATGCAAATGTGACCGCTGCGCAGACGCAGCAGCAGCAGCAGCAGCAACCACTGATCTGCTTTATTTGTTTCTTTAATTATGAGTGTCAGGTCCGAGAGAGTGCGAACGCACAGATTAAGAGAGATAAACGGCGAAACGTTTGTACACCTACACGTTGAGATCTCAACTTGGCTGCTGGCTGCTGGCTGCCCAGCAACTGCATTCAGTTCGAAATTAACCGTTTTATTTTACAGTCCAACTTCTATAGCTAGGAAGTAGCTTATTGGGACTGATAATAGTATAAGAAACTTTCAAAATCTGTTCAATGTAAATATTAAAAGTTAAAGAAAACTAAAATTTATAACACTAAGGCAATCCTTGAATCCCTCCCCCTCCCTCTTTGTATATATCTTAAATACCCGTTAAGGAAGCTCAACTGTAGTTGAATTTTCGTTTGTCCACCACTTCCGTCACTTGAAGTTAAACCCGTGTTGCAATCGCAATGAGGCAAGTGAAGCAACTGAAATCGACTTGCGAAACGTTAAGAATAATCTTGCAAGTGAAAAGTGGCGATGGAGTGGGTGGCCGGTCGGATTCAACGCACTCCATTTGGCTGAGTCCAAAAACTATACAAATGCGTCTTCCCTAATTGAATAATGCTGTGTGGCTGCCCTCCCTTAAAGTCGTTTCCAGCTCTTTAAAATTTAAAATTATAATTTAATGGTTTTAAATTGGTCGCTTGGGGTGTAATTTTCGCATTTGAGTTCATTTTAAACAAACTGTTTTGCTGCTGTCAGATTTTCAGATTATTCAGAGGGCGGTAGTTAATGTTATGGAATATTAGGAAATATTTATGAAGATTATGTTGTTAAAGGAATTCGTTTTTTAAGCTTAAAATGTATTATGAAATCACGAAAAGCTAAGCTTATTAATTTATAACATTTTTATGTTTTTAATAACTTTTAAAACTACCCAGGCACTCTCTGAGAACTGAGAGAACTCAAGTCGGGTGTAGACATCGCAATATTGTGCCAAGTGGTCACTTCAAAGCGCTTTTGATCGTTTTTGATTTCACATTCAATCTCATATCTGCCCTCTTTGTTTCGCTCGTTCTCGGCGAAAAGCTACAACAAAATTGCTTCGATTTTCGAGCATTTTCTGGAAGACAGCATCTTAATTTGAAGATTTATTTCAAGCACCGGAAGCGGAGCCACCTCCTCCACGAATTCACGAAAAAAAAAGAGTTGATTGTCCCGAATCGAAATCGCATATTACCGGCATATAGATATGGATGGGTGTTCGGGAACATGGAACTTGGCCATAATTGACGCTGATTGTCCACGGTTACTTGCTTAATTCTGATTTTTCGCTTTCGGGCGAGGGCAATGGAACCAGAGTCAATGGAATCGATCGATTCAGATCGAGGAAATCACAGAGATTGAAACCCTTGTAAATTAATTAAATGGAAAAACAAAAAATCGAATGTGAGCCAGGAAATGTTTTTAAGATTAAGCTGAAACTAAGATATTCAGCTGTGAAAGTGTAACAAATTAAATACTTAAAATAAATTACTATAAATTTCATTTTAGATTACAGAAATGATCCCTTTTCTTTTTAAAAATCTGAGATAACATTGGAATTATGACTTTTACTGATAGCAGAAGGTAATCCTATTAAAAACCCAAAACACTGCAAAAATTTCAAGTAATTTCAATAGAAACTATTGATGGAAAAGTTTCCGATGGGCATGCATTTTGTGTTAAAAACCATGAAATTGTTATTAATGTCTCGACAAATAGTCAAACCGGCGGCAACTCCCTGCCAGCCGGTGGCCATCATCGCATTAGGAACAATGAAAAGCAAAAGTAAATCGAAATCGTAGCAAAGCCGAAGACACTGCATTGGAGAAATGTTCATCATCATCAGTAGAAGTAGTAGCAGCAGTAACAGCAACTGCACATCAGCAATATCGATGGTGGCATCATTATCATGGCCACGATCATCGACGAGTGGTGAACAATTGAAAAAGTGCTTTTGCTTTGCTCTTGGGGCAACACGTGCCGGGTCTTTTTGGATATGTTTTTTTTTTTTTTGTATATTTTTTTTTGACTGCTATTGATCTCGAGGGCCGGTGTACCTGTCGCTGCCACGCCCCGCCGCCCCCTGCCGTTAGCTCATATGTACACTGCCCTACAAACACACATGCAGGTGCCCAAAAACAGTTGCCGCCGGAGATCTTAAACTTTCATTTATACAATTGTCTTCAAACTGTGCAGCGCTTGCCGCTGCCCCGAAATGAAAGTCGGAACAAAATGGATTTGCTTTTGGAATTTTTGTTCAACAGAAGACACACACACACACACACACACACACAACATGAAGAAAACAACAACTGAGGGAGGGGAAAAACATCATTCTGCTGCTGTTTGTTCATTTTGGGCCACTGGCGGCAGCATTTGGTTTATTGCAGTTTTTCGGCCATGTGCCAAAGGAAAGACCTCCGTACCTTTTGCCCACTTCTGTCCAATATCTCGTTAAATCTAAATGTGCTTTTCTTTTCGTTTTTTTTTCGGGATTTTTTCGGGGATCGCTCTCCATCTCTTTGGGCCGATCAACTTTCGCCGCAGAATTTGCAAAAAACCAAAAAAAAAAAAAAAACGGAGAGTTGTTGCCTTTCCATGGTTCTTTGCCCATCTTGGGACCCTATCCCTGCGCCGGGTCATTGAACGAAGGTTTTGGCAAATAACAACAAAAACAAAATAGCAGCCCAAACTGGTTATTATAATTTTTTCGGCTTTCGCAGAATCGCACGCAGCTGCCCGGACAGCGTCCCCCATTAGGTTGGCCCCATTCTCGGTCCGGCGGGTCCAGGAACTGGGCTTGGCCACATGACAGCCTTAGCCCCAGCCCCCTGAATAGGCAATGCACTGACAGAAAATTAGGTCCACTCTCGTCTTAATAATGATTTAATCCTTGAGACGATAGTTCATGCTTACATCTAACTTCCTAATTC